CCTCCTCCTCCTCCTCCTCCTCCTCCTCCTCCTCCTCCTCCTCCAGCCCTGTGCCGTCTCGCGCGAGACCCGTTTCTCCTCGCTGCTCCTCTGGCGGCGCGCGGCGGGGGCCGCGGGGCAGAAAGCCGCGCGGCCTGCCCGCGGGAGGCGGGCGGCGCGAGGCCCCTCCGGCGGCCTGCCCGCTGGACGCCTCGGGCCCCCCTCTTCCTGGAAACCATTGCGGGCAGTGCTTCAGAGCGTGAATTACCTACCCCGCTTTCGCTTCCAGGAAAAAACAAGGCATACCACGCGCCTCCTCGTCAAGCGGCCTGACCAGTACAGGCCGCAGTTTGGCATCGTTTGGCATCTCTTGGAAGCGAGGGTGGTCAAAAGCGAGGTAGGTTTGTGTTCCCCTTAGTGCTTATATCCATATCCAGAGCGTCGTAGACTTTTTGGAAAGCGGTGCCGCAACGCCGAGGCGCACCGGATATGGATCACATCGAGCCTCTCGGGGCCAGATGTTTATCCCTTTCCAGTGCGTCTACGGTTTCTGGGGAAGAGAGCCCAAGAATCCAAGACGCACTGGATGTGGATATAACTATTGCCCGCAACTATGGGGAATCCTATTCTTTGCGTCTAACTTATGTATTTGTGTGTCCCAGGGCCCCTTGCACAGGTTTGCCCATCCCGAGCCCTTTTCTGCGACGGCCCTGGTCGGAGACTGGAGCGTATTATATAGACTGCCAGTGGCGGGCCGCTTGTCCATCCCAGGACTTCGTGAGGGTCGGGACCCACGTGGGGGTGGTGTGATTGAAGGGGCCCTTGGACACACATATAAATATACACAAATGACACGATTCCCCATCTTTTCCCATGGTGTCGGGCTTTTGTCTCCCCCCCCCCACTTCCCATATTTTCTTATATTTTTTGGGGGGAGTCGACGATGAAATATGTCTGCGTGTCTTTTCCCTCCCGAGAGATATATACCTTTTTCCCCGCATTCCTGGGGAAACCACAAAAACGCATACACCAGGATCCCGTATACACCAGGATCCGTTTCCCCGTGCAAGTGTCAGTACAGGGCCGGAACATGCGTCGGTGTATAGAGCTTCTTTCCCAGGGCTAGGTCGGGCGTGCCCCCCTACAGGCGGATCTTGAACGAAAAATGAAAGATACCCCAAGCAAATTCCAAAATAACCAAGAAATGCTCACAAAGATCGTCTCCGCATTACTTTTAGACCATTTTCGAGCCTATTCCTCCAATAGAAGGACGCGCCCGACGTAATCCTGAGGTTCTCATCCCTACAGGCGGATTTGGAGCGAAAAACGAAGGATACCCCAAACATATTCCAAAATGCCAGAAGACATGCTCACAAAGATCGTCCCCGCATTATTGTTAGATCATCTTCGAGCCTATTTCTCCTGTCGAGGGGCGCGCCCGACGTAGCCCCGAGGTCCTCATCCCTACAGGCGGCTCTTGAGCGAACAATGAAAGATGCCCCAAGCATATTCCAACATACCAGAAAATATGCTCACAAAGATCGCCCCCGCATGATTTTTGGACCATGTTCGAGCATATTCCAAAATATCCCAAACACAGCCCAAAAGAGCCAAGAAGTGCTCACAAAGATCGCCCCCGCATGCTTTTTGGACCATCCTCGAGCCCATGCCTCCTGCAGAGGGGCGCGCCCGACGTAGCCCCGAGGTCCTCATCGCGTGCTGCTTCTCACGCACAGGATGTCAAAAGTCGGTGTGCACCATGCGCGTTTACAAACCTGTTGTCATCGGCTCTTCAAGATGGTGCTCCCGCTTCAGCGAGGGCCTCATTTTCGGATCGGCGCTTTGCTCCCGTCGTTCAGAACAGCGCTCTCGCCCGTGGGGCCCGCGGCGCCTGGAGGCCTCGGCCCGTGGGGGCCGCGGCTCGACCCCTCCGGACCTCTCCGGGAGGCCCGGCCCTCTGACGTGCAGGCCTTCTCTGCTGGCCTCGACCGCCAAGTTTCGACGTTTGTGGGCTCTCCCTCCTCTCCCTCCTCCTCCTCCACCTCCACCTCCCCCTCCTCCTCCTCCTCCCCCTCCTCCTCCCTCCTCCTCCTCCTCCTCCTCCTCCTCCTCCTCCCCCTCCTCCTCCTCCTCCTCCTCCTCTTCTTCCTCCTCTTCCTCCTCCTCTTTGTCCTCCTCCTCCTCTTCGTCCGCCTCCTCCTCTTCGACCGCCTCCTCACGCCGTTTTTGGCCTGACGTTTCGAGGCCCACGAGAGTACACGTCGTTCATTTTTAATTATTCGAGAGTTCTTTGGATTTTTTGGGGGGGCGAGATCCTCTCACTTCTAAGTGTGCCATCCTGGGCCTCCTCCTGGCCACTATAGGGGGCAGGGAAGAATCAGAAACGAGCATAGTTTGAAATGAGCACGATGAGAAATGAGCGACGTGCGCTGACACCGGAGGGTTGTCACGTGTACAGTCGGGGCGCACATCGAGAAGCCATGTGCTCTGCGTCAGGGCATCCCGGTCTTCTTCGCTTTCGCCAGCTGCGCGGGGCTCGGGGCAGCTGCTGCGTTCGGGGTGCTCTAGGCTTCCCCTCGGGTGCACTTCGCGCGCGGGCTTTCAGGGTTGGGTTTCGTGCGGGGGTTTCTGGCGGCCGCGCCCGCACTGTAGGGCCCTTGGAGGCGGGACTCGTTCGACCGACACTTCGCTAGCGTGTTCGGCAGACATTTCGTCGATGTTTTTTTGTTTCCCGGGTGCTCGGAATTAATTCTGGAATGGTGTCCTAAGTTCGATGGGATCTTCACAAGTTATGATGTTCCAGCTCATTTGAGCCAGGATCACCAGAAAGAATTTCAAGCATCACGCAAGTATCGAGACTGCAGGGTTTTTACGTATCGGGCCCTGGGATGCGCTACTCGTTCGGGTTTTCGCCTGCGTGCCGGTCAGACACAGTGACGATTTTTGTTCGGGGTGGTCCTCAAGTGCGATGGGAACAACTCAAGAGGGCAAGGGCTAAAGGTGCCCCTGGCCGAAGATGCCCCCCTGCTTTTTGTTCAACTTTGGAGCCCCTGCAGCCCGTCATGGGCCTCGCGAGGGATGCTCTGGAGGCCGTGGGGGCCTCCATAGAAATCCTGGGAGCACCTTGGGCCAGGGGCACCTCTAGCAGCACCCGAGGCGGGCCTATCCCACAAGGGGCGTCCTCGCAAAAGCTACCAGCCGCAGGCTCCTCGAACCTCGACCCTCGCTGCGTGTTGCCTCCTGCCTCCTCGCTCCTCGAGCCTCGGACCTCGACGCCCTCGACATCCTCGACCTCCTCGCACCTCGCACCTCCAACCTCGCACCTCCAGCCTCGCGCCTCCGACCTCCATCCTCGCACCCCGCACCTCCGACCCTGCACCTCGCACCTCGCACCTCGCACCTCGCTCCTCGCCCCTCGCTCCTCGCTCCTCGCCTCTCTTTGCGGCCCCGCCGCCGCCCCCCGAGCGGCCCGCTGCACCCCCGGCCGACCTCGGGGCGCCCCCTCCGCCCGGGGCTCGCGCCCCTGCCGCCGCGCCCCTGCCGCCGCGCCCCCTGCCGCCGCGATCTCCGCGCGCCGGCCCGTGTGCGGCGGGGCGCGGCGGGGCGCGCAGTGTGCAGGGAGCGGCTCGCTCCTGGGCGTCCGCGCCGCGCCCCCGAGCAGCTGCCTCCCCCTCCTCCTGCTTCTGCATCCTGCCCCGCCTCCTCCTCCTCCTCCTCCTCCTCCTCCTCCTCCTCCTGCTTCTGCATCCTGCCCCGCCTCCGCCTGCTTCTGCATCCTGCCCCGCCTCCTCCTTCCTCCTCCTGCCCCGCCTCCTCCCGCATCTCCTCCTCCTCCTGCTTCTCCGCCGCCGCTCTGTCTCAAGCGGATGCGCTCCCAACGGCGTGGGCACCGCTCGCCCGCGGCTCCCATCCCTTCACGCCCCTTTCGGGGACTCCATCGGCGCTTCCTCTGCTTCGCCCTCGCGGCATTGGCCCGGGGCGACACGAACATAGCACAGTGGAGCCCTGACGGCATCCACACGGCGCTGCAGCCACAGACGACAACATAGGCGACACCACCTAAGCATCTCTTCGCGGTGCCGAACTTGACCGAGCACGTGGCAGTCGAGAGCGACCACCTCGGAAACAGCATCAAACAACCCGTGTAAAAAAACGCGACCCATGGCAAGATCCGGCTGCAGAACCCAACGAAACCCGAAGCGAGCTGACATCAATCTTCGAGGAGCAGATGGGCCAGGCCACCAAGCAGCTCGAGAGAAGACAGCCAGGGAGACCACGATGGCAGCGCAGAGCCACTACATGGCGCACGTGAGTAAGGTCACGGAATCAGTCACCAAGCGGCAGGAGCACAGGGTCCGAAGCGCTTCGCCGTCACTGATCAGGAGGGAACAACAACACACAGACACAATTCATCGTCGACCCCCAAGAGAATCTGGGAAAATAGGGGAAGTGGGGGAAGACAGAAACCCAGAGCATATGGGCAACTATAGGGAAAATATGGAAAATATTGAGAATATGGGAGAATATGGGAAAATATTGGGAACCCGGAGAATCTTGGAAACTATGGGGAATATTTCTAATTGTGCGTACTTATTGGTGTGTCCCAGGGCCCTTGCAGCTGAGAAGAGCGCCGCCGACCTCCGCGCCGCGGCCACGAGGCTCCAACGCGTCCACCGCTCATGCCAAGGCCTAGGCCCTTTTGGTTATGTCGGGCGTGTCCCCCATACAGGGGATTTTCGACGGAAAAATAAGCATACCATAAAATACACCAAAATGGCAACAACATTGTCGAAAACTCGCCCCCATATTATGTATATTTGTTGGGCAGCATAAACTTGGCCACGTCTGCACGTTTTTGAGCGAGCGCACGCAAGACATCGCCGAGGCTCAGCTCCGCGAGGCCCCTTCAACCCTGGTTCGACGCCGCCGAGGTGGACATCAACTGCGTCTGCGTCAACAGCAACACCCCCAGCAAACGAGTCTCCATCGCGCTCCTTGAGAGGGGGCGCGGTGGTCATCCCGGGCGGGAAGGCTATGCTTCGCCATCTTCGCATTGGACGCGGCCGGCGTCCATTTTCGATCCGCTCGGGCGACCAGAGCTCCCCCTTGCACGCCAGTATCGACAAGAGCCCGAAGTTCGTGCAACAAATGTCGGCGTTTGCGTGCCAGGGCAGTTTCTTTTGCGGAATTGGGCGCCCTGGCGCGGACGGCCGAACGACCCCTGTAGCGGGGCGCCCTGGCCACGCGGTCGCCGCCGCAGGAACTGCCCGTTCAAGGCTGGCGCCTCGCAAAGGCGCGACAGGAGGTGCAGCCCAGGAAGCTCTCCCAGATCAGCAGCAACGACATTTCGCCCATGGCCCACCGCGCCGAAGGCCGCCGCTCTGTTGACAACAGCGTGCCCTTTTTGTCCGCCCGCGCGTCGGCGCGATGCCCGCGGGCGCAGCGCAGGCGCAGTGGGCCGGCGCGGCTGCTGCTGCTGGCGTCGCCCCCGCTGGTCAGCCAGAGAGCTGCCTGGCGAATTGGCCGCCGCCTTCGCGAGCCCACAGGCGGCAGCGCCGCGGCTTTGGCATCAGATGGGCACCTCGCACGGCGGCAACAACAAGGACGACGCCATTTCTGACCTCCTGGAGCTCCTGGGTCATATGCGGCATCCCCTTTTCATCCCGTCGCGACGCCAAGCGTCGTTTGCTGGCCGACTGCCTCCGCCTGATCTTGCTCCAGGAGACCCGCGACAACAGCGACGCGCTCTGCCTCGTGGCAGACAGCAAGACGAGCAAGTATGCCGTCCGTCATCTGGGCATCGATGGCAATCAGGCCGCTGGTGGCGCTCGCGACTTCAACGTGAACGCGCCGCGGCGCATTGCCATGCCTAAGATCGCCGACAGCTCAAAGCGATGTTGCAACATGATGTTCGATGTGCACGACCACAACCTATCCCCGACCAACAGATCTGGACGCCCGAGATGGGCACGGAAAGAATGGGTACGATGCCCGACAGCAGTTCTTGTTCATTCTGACAGGATTCGCTGTCCACGCCGCCGCGGCCTGTGTCCACTCGAGACAGAAGGCCGCCTGCCCAACAGCGGCCGCTGTTGGTTTGGGACAACATTTGTTGTTGGGCACCCATTCTTTCGGTACCCATCTCGGGTGTCGAAAACAGATGCGACTGCAAGGCGGCGTTGCGGGCCGCGGTGCAATTGGCGCGCCTGGTCCCCGCGAAGTACGCTGAGCATGATGGGGGACATCGACCTTTCCGATCATCCGCCGCGCGACATGGCACCACCTGCGGACATTGCCTCGCTGCCGCAACGTCAGCAGCCACCGCCGCGTTGGCGCGACAGTTCCAGGGGCGATATCGAGGCGATTACTCGGGCGACCACTAATCGGGACTACGCGAACAACCGAGAGACGACCACCGACCGCGTCTTCATTTCTTCGGGCGATGCACGAAATCTCGCGCGCAGAGACCGCGCTTGCCGTGGGCGACGAGCCGCGTCGAGAGGATAGTTGCGTTCGTCAGCGAACGCGAGATGTTTCGTCTGCGCGCCCGCCTGCGAGGTCAGCGACTGCCTGCTGGCTGGGCGATGCCGCCCGCGATATGCAAGAGCGTTTTCTACCAGCATTGCGTCACCAAGCTCGACAACATGATTGACTTCTCCTCTCTCGACGCAGCGGCTAAGTGGAGGGCGCGCGAGGGCAACGCGTGCGCATCCGCGCAGCGCGCGCGAACGGCGTTGCTGACGCTCCACCCCGGCGCCCCGGGCGCCAGTCGCTGGGGCGTCGCCGGGGGCGGAACCCCGCGGCCATGCGAGGCGTCGCGACGGCTGTTTGGCATCGAGATGCCCCGCTTGCCAGACTACTCCTCGACGACGCGCGCAGGGGCCCTGGGCGCTTGCAGATCCACGAAGACACGCTGAGCGCGAATGTCACCGCGAACGCTTTTCTTCCGCGACCCTCCGAAGTTCAGCGTCGAAGGTTCCGCGGCTCGCTCTGATGCGGCCGATGGGCGAGCGGCGCGCGCCGCAGCCCAAGCGCGACGAGCGCGGCGACCGTCGCGATGGCGACCGCCGGCGACAACCGGCCCCCCGTGCGCGACGGCGCGGAGAGCCGTGGATGCCCTTCGTGGAGCGGCTGACCCTAAACGGCGCGAAGATCGCGAGCACTTGCTTTTCCTACATCGAGACCGACCCGGTGATCATTCGCAGTTCCAGCCAATTGCATTGGGCCCGATATTCGCGGAGAAGAAGGTCGACGACCAGGACGCGACGCAGCATCTGAACAGGGTTTCCGGCGTGGTGGCGATGATCGACATTGCCAACCCCGGCGAGCGCTGTGCTGTTCGTTCTGACCAACTACAATGCCGCGCGTGGTTGCCCACGCCTCTCAGCGTCACCATCTTGGCGGAGCGCGCGCCCCGCTTGGCGCGCGGCGGACCGGCGCCCCGCGATCTCGACTTCTCGCTGATGGTGATGCCCCCCAAACGGAAGAAACGTATGACCAGCGCGCCGCTCTAGGCGACGCTCGCGCGTTCGGCCCGCTACCAATGCCGAGCGGCGACATCGAGATCATCGCGTCAGCTGGCAACGGGGAGTCTCCACCCCGTCGTCCGTTCCACCATGAATTTGCAACGCGGATGCATTCATGAACGCCGATTGTCCACCGACGTCGTCAACGTCGACGCGGACTGCCGCAAAGTCAGTGTCTTCTTCGTTGCTGCAGTGTTGCAGCCATGCTTCCTTAGTGTTGACAACGCTGCGGTGTTCCCCAGCCCCGTGCGTGCATGGCTTTGGGATGTACTCCTTCGCGGGGGCATTCGCGGCTCGATCTTGCAAATGCTGCGCTCCGGCTACAACGACTCGCTCGCGTTCCTGATTCTTTGCGTTGGGGGGCCCAAGTCGGGCGCCCTTATCAAGCAGACAGTGAAGAACCCTGCGAGATATAAGCATACGCAGAGATAAGCATTGCGCTACTTATGGCGATATCCGCACCAGACTTGCATCGCCTAACAGCACGACCCTATGTTCTACAGCGAGATTGTCTCGCATGCCTCCACCTGTGTTGTTTTACGTGATGTAGTTGCAGCGAAATTCCCCCGCGCGTTTCCCATCCCTGTCCAAAATAGTCACGAATACGGTCGGCGCGTTCTTCTTCCGAGGGCTCGGCGAATCTGCCGAGGACTCATTGTATTGAGTCTGCGTTGTGCTTTGTTTTCCGTTCTCCAGCCGCTGTCCCTTGCCGGGTCAGTCATTCAGCTCGTCTTCCAGGAATGGCATGCGTCTCCTAGATGAAAGAAATCAAAGCTCACAAACAGGTGCTTCTCAATATCCAGGTGCGTCTGACTGTGCGCCCGAGTCTGCATTATCTACACAGTTGGTTGGGATGGTCGGATGACGGCCCGAATCAGTCTCAGCACATCCTTTGCTTTCGAAAATCTGTCCCGTGCCATGTCCCATGCATTCCGCATCCGACCTTTTTGCGACATCATCGTTTGCGTTGTCCGGGGGGCGCCTCATGGTTCACGCATGCGTCACCGGGGCCATTTTTATCCCGTCCACTTGTGTTCCCTTTTTCGAATGAGCGATCAACGGCACCAAGTGTTCCATCCAAAGCTGTTGAATTAATTGACGGGGCCCCCGTCTCAACCAACCCCCCTGCTAGGAGGTAAGTGGGGGCTGCACGTGCCCCCTCTGGGAAGATCACGCCGCTTGGGGTATGTGCTCGTAAGATCAGCCTTTTGGACGCCAGAGAACGATCTGCATGATTGGTTCGTCGAGCTGTGAGCTATAGGTGCTTGCGTGTGGAGCATCGGGTCAACACCATTGAATATATGGACTGCTTCGTCCGTACGGCCAACGAGCAGTGATGTACGCGATTTTTCAAATACTCCAATGTCACGTTGAGCGCTATCACGTTCAAACTGTTTATGGCAGTGTTGTTTGTCAAACGTGCTAGGCTGCCCACGCCTGCACATCACCGTCTTTAGCATGGCCGTGTCTGCGTGGGATCGAAGTATCTGGATGGCACGGGCCGCTCCCCTTTTGTTTTCGTCTTGCTGTGTTTCTACGATCGCAATTTTCCACGAGTTCGTCTGCATGAGGGAGCATGGGGTCAATAAGCCGAATAATCATTGTGGGCGGCCTTGCGGGAGGCTCTCCGCGCATGGCGCTGCAACCCTGCTTCGCGTGGCCCCCGTGGGCGGAAAGCGAGTCATGCGCCGGCCCTTCCTGGAGCCAACATGGCTACGCATTCCCCGCAACTCCTGCTCCCCCTCCCGCTGCTCCTCCCCTTTTCTGCTCCCTTCCGACATCCTCATCATCCTGCTGCTCCTTCTCCTCCTTTTGCTCCTCCCCCGCCGTTTTCCTCTGCCGCCGCCTCCTCCTCCTCCTCCTCCTCCTCCTCAGCCTCCTCCTTGTTCTTCCGGCGATTGCTGAGGGAGTGGTTACGCGGGGGTGTGGTTTGCGACTTGGGTGTTTGGGCTCGGGGGGGGCACCAGGCGGGCCTCGTCGAGCTTCCTCGGAGCGCGGCGGAGAGCCCCGTCGAGGTCCCTCCAAGGTGCCGGTTGTTACTAGCCGGGAACAGATTCCTATCCCTATGCTGGGCATCTCCTGATCACGATGCCAATTTTAGGGATTCCCTTACTTTTTGAGGGCGCATCCCTAAGATTGCCATCGTCTTTTGGCGTGTCAGTCCTAGGGATCGGGATGAGTTCGAGGCTGGTAAGGTTGCAGACCGCACCCTCTGCAAACCAGAGCACCCGTCGGAATGGCCGATCCTTCCGCGTCTCCCGCCGGCACCGAAGCACGGAGGCCGCAGCGAGGCACGGAATCAAAAGAGGGAGGAAGGGGAGGAGGAGGAGGAGGAGGAGGAGGAGGAGGAGGAGGAGGAGGAGGAGGAGAGGAAGCGAGGAGAAGCGAGGAAAGCGAGGAGGAGGAGAGGAGGAGGAGGAGGAGGAGGAGGAGGAGGAGGAGGAGGAGGGGGAGGAGGAGGAGGAGGAGGCGGGGGAGGAGGAGGAGGCGGGGGAGGAGGAGGAGGAGCGAGGTGCTGCGAGGGTTGTTCAGGTGCCGCGCCGATCTTCCCCGTCCCCCTCCTCCTCCTCCTCGCCCCTCCGCGCCCGCCTCCGACGCGCGGCTCCGGCGGCGGGCCGGGAGCGCCCGGGTCCCTCCCCGCCCCGAGGCGGCAGATCGCGGTCGGACCTCCTTGGTCGTCGTCGTCGTCTTAAGTCGGGCCTGTCCCCCTACAGGGGGATGTTCGACGAAAAATGAAAAATACCCCAAAAATACCCCCAAAAGGTCAAAACATACTAATTAAATAGTCCCTATACTTTTTTCCCAACCAACCTGTGTTGTTGGGTCCTCGTTTTGAAGAGACGGTCCCCGCGTTCCTTCCTCCTTCCTCCTTCCTCCTTCCTCCTTCCTCCTTCCTCCTCCTCCCCTGCCTCCCCCTTCCTCCCCCTCCCACACCCATTCTGGCACACCCCTATCACGTTTCGTGGCCCCATAGGGAGCTCCACCGAAGGCCCCAGTGGCTGCGCCCGCATGCAGTTCCACCCCCCATTCTGGCACACCCCTCACACGTTTCGTGGCCCCATAGGGAGCTCCACCGAAGGCCCCAGTGGCTGCGCCCGCATGCGGTTCCACCCCCCATTCTGGCACACCCCTCACACGTTTCGTGGCCCCATAGGGAGCTCCACCGAAGGCCCCAGTGGCTGCGCCCGCATGCGGTTCCACCCCCCATTCTGGCACACCCCTCACACGTTTCGTGGCCCCATAGGGAGCTCCACCGAAGGCCCCAGTGGCTGCGCCCGCATGCGGTTCCACCCCCCATTCTGGCACACCCCTCACACGTTTCGTGGCCCCATAGGGAGCTCCACCGAAGGCCCCAGTGGCTGCGCCCGCATGCGGTTCCACCCCCCATTCTGGCACACCCCTCACACGTTTCGTGGCCCCATAGGGAGCTCCACCGAAGGCCCCAGTGGCTGCGCCCGCATGCGGTTCCACCCCCCATTCTGGCACACCCCTCACACGTTTCGTGGCCCCATAGGGAGCTCCACCGAAGGCCCCAGTGGCTGCGCCCGCATGCGGTTCCACCCCCCATTCTGGCACACCCCTCACACGTTTCGTGGCCCCATAGGGAGCTCCACCGAAGGCCCCAGTGGCTGCGCCCGCATGCGGTTCCACCCCCCATTCTGGCACACCCCTCACACGCTTCGTGGCCCCATAGGGAGCTCCACCGAAGGCCCCAGTGGCTGCGCCCGCATGCGGTTCCACCCCCCATTCTGGCACACCCCTCACACGTTTCGTGGCCCCATAGGGAGCTCCACCGAAGGCCCCAGTGGCTGCGCCCGCATGCGGTTCCACCCCCCATTCGGGCACACCCCTCACACGTTTCGTGGCCCCATAGGGAGCTCCACCGAAGGCCCCAGTGGCTGCGCCCGCATGCGGTTCCACCCCCCATTCTGGCACACCCCTCACACGTTTCGTGGCCCATAGGGAGCTCCACCGAAGGCCCCAGTGGCTGCGCCCGCATGCGGTTCCACCCCCCATTCTGGCACACCCCTCACACGCTTCGTGGCCCCATAGGGAGCTCCACCGAACGGCCCCAGGGCTGCGCCCGCATGCGGTTCCACCCCCCATTCTGGCACAACCCCTCACACGTTTCGTGGCCCCATAGGGAGCTCCACCGAAGCCCCAGGCTGCGCTTGCGCCTGCACACCCCTCACACGTTTGTGGCGGGGAGCTCCACCGAAGGCCCCAGTGGCCCATGCGTCCGGGCACACCCCTCACACGTTTCGTGGCCCCATAGGGAGCTCCACCGAAGGCCCCAGTGGCTGCGCCCGCATGCGGTTCCACCCCCCATTCTGGCATACCCCTCACACGTTTCGTGGCCCCATAGGGAGCTCCACCGAAGGCCCCAGTGGCTGCGCCCGCATGCGGTTCCACCCCCCATTCTGGCACACCCCTCACACGTTTCGTGGCCCCATAGGGAGCTCCACCGAAGGCCCCAGTGGCTGCGCCCGCATGCGGTTCCACCCCCCATTCTGGCACGCCCCTCACACGTTTCGTGGCCCCATAGGGAGCTCCACCGAAGGCCCCAGTGGCTGCGCCCGCATGCGGTTCCACCCCTCATTCTGGCACACCCCTCACACGTTTCGTGGCTCCATAGGGAGCTCCACCGAGCGCCCCAGTGGCTGCGCTCGCATGCGGTTCCACCCCCCCATTTCGGCACACCCTCACTCGTTTCGTAGCCCGTGGGCGCCACCGAAGAATATATCCACAATTGCGGTATTCACAACTACGTATGGTTGGTTCGTCAGGCTAATTTTTGCTTATGTTTGGGGTATTCTTTATTTTTCGTCGAAAATCTCCCTGTAGGGGGGCAGGCCCGACCTAGTCGTTGTCGTCGTCGTCGTCGGGTTGCCTCGTCTCCTCCTCGCCACAGTTTTTGTCCGACATTCTCCGCAGGCTCCCGGAGAGGTTTCTCGTCGCCGCGGCCGGGTCCGCGCATCTGCACGGGCCAGGAGGGATCGCGGGAGGGGTCCGGGGGCCAAAATTGTGCGCGGATCACCATGTTCCTTCCCTTTCCTTGGTAGTCTCCTCCCCGTCCTCCTCTTCCTCGAGCACCGGCCCTGAGATGTGGACAGAGCCACGTTTTCGCAGGACCAAGGGTCGTCTCGATCTCAACCAATAATATACTGGTAGCCAGCGTGGACCCCAAACAGTAAATCATCAAAATCGCCTACGGCGAGTCACCGCTGTCCCCTGTCTTTTTGGAAGCGCATCTGTGGCCGAACGTTGTGGCCATGGCTCGGCCAATCTATCTGACTATATGTTTCCCCAGCCCTTGTGGAAACCCTTCGGGGAACACGTGGGGCGACGTAATGATACAAATACTGATAATAATAATCAAGCGAAACATACTACTAGTAATAATAAGCAAACGAAAAGTTATAGTAGTACAAATCATCATGGTAAGAAACAAGAGCAGTACTAACAATGTTACTAAGGAGGAGACGGATAGTAATAATACTGAGAAGAAAACTAATTCGAGTAAAACGAATCACAAGAAGCAACAGAAGAAGAGGAGAGGGAGGACAACGGACGAGGAGGCTTCTTGGGAGCCTATTGGGGTACTCCTGGGTCTTCCGCGAGCTTCTTGGGGGCCTCTTGGAGGCGTCTTGGAGGCCTCCTCGGGCTCTATTGGGGACGTTTGGTAGTTTTTTGGAGGCCTCTTTGGCCGTCGTAGGGCGTTCCTGGCACGCCTGACGCCGTCGGAAGCCGTCTTGAGGGCCTTTCCGGGCCGTCTTTGGGCTTTCTCGGGGCGTTTTAGGGTCGTCTTGGAGGCCATCCGTCTTGGAGGCTTCTTGGGGCGTCGCGGGGTCGTCTTGAGGACATTGGGGCTATCTCGGGGCAATCTTGGGGGGCCCTTGGACCATCTTGGGCCCGCGGAAGGCCGAGAAGAAACGAAGGGCAACGTCCTTCAAACACCTACCATAAATAAATTAGTTTGGGGTCTTCGGGCGCTCCAGGAGGATCTCTTGGAGTCCTCTTGAACCGTCTTGAGGGCCTCTTGGGGGTCTCTTCGGCCACCTGGGACCGTCTGAAGGCTTCTTGGGCGGACTTGACCGCATTTTGGACCTTGGGCCGTCCATTCGGGATCATGTTTGGCCGTCTTGGAGGTCATTTTGGGCGTCTTTGAAGCCTCTTGGGCCGTCTTGCGAGGTCCACTTGGGGCCGTCTTGGAGGCTTCTTGGGGCGTCACGGGGTCATCCTGAAGGCCTTCGAGGCCATGTTTGGGGGCCTCTTGGGCCGTCTTGGGCAGTCGGAAGGCCGAAAAGTAGCAAAGAGCAACATCCTTCAAAAACCTACGAATAATGCATGATGTTGGGCCCTGGGCCGTCTTGAAGGCGGGGGCCGAGACAAACGCAGACACCTCGAGACTTCGGGGAGGGAGATTTCGGGGTAGGGTTTTACCAGGGTGACCACGACGAGCGCAAAACATACCCCGAAATCTTTGGCCGATCTTCGAATTCTCGGCGAATCCGCGATTTTGGGATTGGGGATGTGTTTTTTCGTGGTCAGCTGAGCAGCCTCGCTTGACCCAGCGATTTCCGTAGTAAGAGAAGCGCGAACCCCTGAGTGCAAGTTGGGCTTGGGGAGCAACTTCTTCGATGACGACGCGCGCTGTGCGAAAACACAGCATGCGGAGTTCCGCTGGATTTTGCCAGGGCGGAGTGGAGAGTGATGTTCCTACTGCTCGTGTGTAGGCGGTCCGAAGAGAGGGTCCAGACATCGGGTGCTTCGAGAATTACAATGCGAGTCCCCCTGCGGACCTTTTGACTCTTTCCCCCAGGCCAATCTTTCGTCCGATTGATTTTGGACGTTCCACAGGCCCGGAATCGGTGTCTCGGATGCCAGAGAGTTGCTCTACGGGCACATGGTTTGGAGATATAAACGGTCCTTGCAGGGGCTGGTCTACAGTCAAAGCACAGAGTAAGGATCAGCAGCCTTCGTATGTTACCCTCGCAGCCTTGCCCCTGCGGCCCATCCTTGGCGACTTTAGCTTGCCAACCCCGTTCGAAACACGTCAGCATGGCCTGCTAAGGCCTTGCTTCCTTACCGCGCATCCCCATTACACGTTTTGACTGTATTTGCGGTCCGGTCTAGTCGTTGCCATCCCGTCGCGGCTCAAACACTCTGATTTTTTCGTAGTCGTTCTTTTCGTTGCTGTCTTCTGCTCGCGTTGCACCGCGGCCGCGTGGCGCCAGATCTTTGTGGATGAAGAGGAGGACACACGATATTCGATCCTCGAGGGGGCTGCGCATCCCTTTTCCCCGCAGCGTGGCCGAACACGTCTGAGGACCTAGACATCCGACGAAGTGTTGTTTGGTGGTTGTCAATGCGCGACCCCACAGGTCTCAGGAGCAACGATAGGGGGGACAGGCACACGGGGGAGGCATCGACCCCAGTCGCCCATTCATCGCCGACGGCGGCCCGAAAACCCCAGCCCGCCCAGGAACCCCCGGACTTGCCATCGTGGGCCTGTCGCCGACCTCTCGGCCATGCATCGCCGACGCCCCCCTGTGCCACCCTGTGTATCGCCGATGTCTGCTCTCCCCCCCCCTGTGCCAGTCCCCCCCCTCTCCCGTTGCTCCTGCAGGGCTCGGCCCTCCCCGGTGTGTGTGTGTGTGTGTGTAAGCAGCTTCTCGTCCTCCTCCTCCTCCTCCTCCTCCTCCTCCTCCTCCTCCTCCTCCTCCTCACACCCCTCCTCCTCCTCCTCCTCCTCCCCCCTCCAACGGGCCCCCGGGCTGGACGAGGTCGAGGAGAAGCGCCCGGGCTGGGCGCGCCACACCGTCGGAGCCTCTGCGAGGCTCCCGCCGCGGATGCGATCCCCGTGGTGCGAGCAGGCCGGGTGCTCCTCCTCCTCGTTCCTCCTCCTCGCCCCTCCCCCTCGATATCTCGATCCTCCTCGATGCCTCGATCCTCTTCCTCGACATCCCGCTGCTTCGGCCTTCGAGCCCCCGCCTCGCGGGGCCGAGGGGGGGGCCAGGGGGCACCACCCGGAAGCGGCGACGGGCTCCTCGGCGCCCGCGAGGCCCGCGACGTGCGGTCCTTCCCAGAGATGCGCACGGACTGGGGCCAGTTCAAGGCGATGCCGACGCCTTGCCGCCGCCGACGCCGACGCCTCCTCCTTCTCCTCCTCCTCCTCCTCCTCCTCCTCTTCCTCCCCCTCCTCCTCCTCCTCCTCCTCCTCCCTCTCCTCCTCCTCCTCCGATGCCGATGCCAGCGACGACGTCGGCGGTGTCGTCGTCGACGACGCCGCCGCTGGCGCCGTCGCCGGCGCCCTCTCGGAGGCTTCTGGGCGTCCCCGGGGGGGGTGGGCTCGCCGCCACGCCTGGGGCTCTTGCGGGCGGGGGCAGCTGCTGCTGGGGCTAGGGCGGGGGGACCTGGCATCGTTCGGACGTGTGCAGTTCTTCTCGACGAGAGCCATCGAGGACCATCCTGGACCATTGAGCCAACAAAACACGCACGGCACCGACAAATGCACGGGGAATGGACGTCCGAGCGACGGCAAGGGGACGAGCACGAGCAGCACGGCCAGCCCCCTTTGCTGCACGAGCAGCCGCAGCCACAGCCGACCTCCCCCGCGGACCCGGGGTCCCGGAGAGCAGCAGCGGGGGAAGGCTCTCGAGGAGCCGGCCAGGGTGGCGCACAGCGCCTGGGCCTGGGCCAGGAGCCGGCCGTTGGCGGGCGCAAGGGCCTTCTTGTCGACGCCGATGCCGCTCCCGCTTAGGCTTATGATGTTCCAGCCTACTGTAGCCTTGACCGCCAAACAAAGATTCGAGCACGAAGAAAGTACCGACACTTGGGGATATTTCGTGTCGGGCCCTGGGAGGCGATACCCGTTCGACACCGTTGCGGTACTTTTCTGGGTGCTCGAAATTATGTCTGGGATGTCGTCCTCTAGGAAGATGGGGGCAACATAAGACTAGACGTGAGAGTGACCTTTCGCCAGAGTGCGGGCCCAATGGGGTCCCCCGATCGCCGAATGCGAGGCGATAGCAGCGTCTTATACGCGCCTGGGTTTTGCCCCCTCGCGCCCCCCAAAAGCCGCGCGCCAAAGGTACCTCTTACTCAGGGTCGCTTCTTGCGTGTAGTCGATGATCGGTCTTCGAGGCCACACTTTTCACCAAAGCATCTGGCACAGTAGCACCGTCGGGTGCAGGAGCGCTTGCGTGAGCCTTCGGGCCTCTGGATGCCCAGAGCGGCCTGCATGGCGTTGAACAGGTGTTTGAGCCTCCCCTGAGATCCGACGTTAGCGAAAAGATGGCAACATCTCAGTGGAGGAACAGGTACCCATACCTCTACCCTTTCCTCATTTTTCCTTTTGGGAGGCCTCCTCGGGGGCCCTCGTCGCCACCGCTGGATTCGCCCCGAAATCCTGGTCAGAATGCACCCTGGGAGAGGTCCAGGGAGTAGCGGTGTTGGTACCTTTTTTTGATTCCCCAACGTCGTGAAATATCACGCCCGGACCCTACCTTCCTGCGCCACTTTTCGAGCCAGATGGGTCTGGAAGGGTCCCGGACCCCGAACAAAACATGTGAGAGAATTCTGGAGGGGACAATTATCCTGGCGAAGGACCCAACCAGATGCAGTTGCGAGTACCGCAATTGTGAGTATCTTCTTCGATGGCGCTCCCTATGGGGCCACGAACCGTATGAGGGGTGTGCCGAAATCTGTGCGGTGGGCGCATGGGAGCGCAGCCACTGGGGCCTTCGCTGGAGCTCCCTATGGGGCCACGAAACGTGTGAGGGGTGTGCCGAAATGGGTGCGGTGGGCGCATGGGAGCGCAGCCACTGGGGCCTTCGCTGGAGCTCCCTATGGGGCCACGAAACGTGTGAGGGGTGTGCCGAAATGGGTGCGGTGGGCGCATGGGAGCGCAGCCACTGGGGCCTTCGCTGGAGCTCCCTATGGGGCCACGAAACGTGTGAGGGGTGTGCCGAAATGGGTGCGGTGGGCGCATGGGAGCGCAGCCACTGGGGCCTTCGGTGGAGCTCCCTATGGGGCCACGAAACGTGTGAGGGGTGTGCCGAAATGGGTGCGGTGGGCGCATGAGCCACTGGGGCCTTCGGTGGAGCTCCCTATGGGGCCACGAAGCGTGTGAGGGGTGTGCGAGGGTGCGGTGGGCGCATGGGAGCGCAGCCACTGGGGCCTTCGGTGGAGCTCCCTATGGGGCCACGAAGCGTGTGAGGGGTGTGCCGAAATGGGTGCGGTGGGCGCATGGGCGCAGCCACTGGGGCCTTCGGTGGAGCTCCCTATGGGGCCACGAAGCGTGTGAGGGGTGTGCCGAAATGGGTGCGGTGGGCGCATGGGAGCGCAGCCACTGGGGCCTTCGCTGGAGCTCCCTATGGGGCCACGAAGCGTGTGAGGGGTGTGCCGAAATGGGTGCGGTGGGCGCATGGGGAGAGGAGACGGAGGAGGAGAGGAGGAGAGGAGACGCGGGCCACCGTCTCTTCAAAACGAGGACCCAACACCACAGGATGGTTGGGAAAAACTTTCAGACACAAGTATTCGTCGATCCCCAGGAAACTACAAAAACATATGGACAGTGGGGGGAAGACGAAAACCAAGAAAATATGGGAAGATATGGGGGATCCTGGGATTTGTGTATATTTATCTGTGTGTCCCTGGGCCCCTTCAAAAACGCTCGGCTCGAACAAAAATGAGATGCCAGGATCCCAGGGCCGTATCCCACAAGCTCGGGCCCACGTCCTAGAACCCAGACCCCCGACGTCATGAGCTTTTCAGACGACCCATTTTCCCCAGCGCCGGCTTCTCGTCCTGAGCCGCTTCTCGGCGGCCCGGCGAGGCCTGGCGAAGGCCTCCCGCGGCCGAAGATGGCGAGAACCCTCCCGCGCGTCGTGCTTTTGTCACCTCGCGAGGGTCGGCGGCGAGCGAGGGGGGGGGGGGGGGAAGCGAGCAGGGGCGGGCCTTCTCAGAAGGCTCGGAAGTTGTCTGAGCCTTGCCTGCCCCGAACAAAAAAAAACACTTCTCAGAGGGTGCGAGGGCTTCTGGAGAAGGCCCGCCGCCTTCTGAGGAAGGCCTTCTCCTTCTCGTTTCCCCCCCTCGCTCGCCGCCGAGGGGGGGTCCGGGAATAGCGCGGATAGGACGCCCGGTCGGGGCGCGGGGGTGGCCTCCTGCGCGGAGGGCCGCGTCCGGGGGCACTGGCTCCCGAGGGGGGGGGGAAGCGGCGACGCCCAAGCGCTGGTTCATCGCCCAGCGTGCTGCTTCGCAGTCGGAGACCGTTCTTTGAGTCGGGCATGTCCCTCTACAGGAGGAATGCTCGAAAGTAGTAAAAAACTAGTCAGGGCACGATCTTCTGATCTCGCGCGAGCCAGTTTCGAGCACTCGTGTCTCGCCCGACCTCCGCCTGCAGGAGGGCACGCCCGACCTGAGCCTAGCGTGCGGCTTCGCAGTCGGAGGCCCATCTCCGATCTGCCGGCGATGTGTCGCCGATTCCAGGTCGACGCTTCCTCGCCTGGGCCAGGCACCCCATACAGCCAAGACGCTGAAATAAGGACCGCTTGGGGTTCGGAAGGGGCTCGGGGTTTTGGGTCGTTTCTAAGATTTTTGTCGCGGGATTTGCTTGCTGCTTGTGGCCTAGGCCCACCGTGGCCAGAAAAGCCCCTTTGTTCCTTATTTGGCGTTCCCTATCGTAGCACCTCGACTGCAACTATCATGGCTCCCCTATCATTCCCCTCCACATCTGCCGAGGGCAGGCCTGGCTTCTCAGAGGCCCTCCCTTGCTCCCCAGGACCCTCCTCTCGGGCGCGCCTCCTGGGAGACCTCCTCTGAGAAGTCCCCTGCCTCCGGGGACCACCCCTTCGCCGAGACTGCCTTATATTGCTCAGGCTTTATACGGCCGGCGCCGCCGACCCTGGAGGCCTCGGCCCTCGACTGACATGGGAGGGAGAGGGCGGGCCATAGGCCCCGGGAGGGTGGTGTTCTGACCCTGGACCACCCCCCGGGATCACTCCCCCCCCACCCCTCTCCGCGGGCAAGGGATCAAAGGGAGTGGGCTTCTTTTCGACTCGGTGGCAACGTTGCCTGATTTCGCTGTGGATGGGCTGGTGCATTTCGCTTTTGCGGGCGTGCTCGAGGACGAGGGCCCACGGAAAGGGGGGGAGCGGCGACGGACTCCGGGGAAGGAGGGGACGCGATGGCGGCGGCGACGCGACGGCGGCAGCGACGGCAATGGCGACGGGACAGCCCTCGTCACACGCCGACAGGGTCGGCGGATTTCAGTGTCCGCCCCACTCCGATCCGGTTCGATTCCGATACTCCGACCATCCGATGCGGCCCGATGCTCTCTTGGAGTTGTTGTCCATCCCGGCGCAGCCGATCCGATCCGATGCCGGGTCCTCGTCGATGCAGCCCCATCCGACGCACCATTCTGATTCGATCCGAGTTCCCGATCCGATGCCGATCGATCCTGCCAGCGCCGCCGATCGCGCGACCTTCTGAGAGGACGTCCGCCCGGCGATCCCGCGATCCGTCAGCCGCGCGGCGAGCGCGCGATCTCTCGCGCTTCCCGCGACGCACCGTCGCGGCTGCCTTTCGGCACGACGCCCCGCGGCGATCGAGCGTGCGCGAGCAGCGAGACCGCCATCGCGCGCGTTCCCGCGCGCCGTCGTGGCGCGCAGGACCGGAGGCTGATGTCCACGAACCCGCCGGGGCCCCGGCTCGGGGAGCGCGTTCGTCGATGTTCGGCGACGTCCTCGACGATCGTCGATGGTCGTCGCCGTCGTGGATCGTCGTCGACCTCATCGTTGTCGTCCTCGTCCTCGGCGTCGTCGTTGCCGTCACCGTCGCCATCGCACACTTCGATTGTGGACGCCGCTGCGGCTGACCGCCATCGTCGTCGTAGTCGTAGTCGTGGGGATCGTCGTCGTCTTTGTCGTTGTCTCCGCCGCCGTCGTAGTTGTCGCTGCGATTCGGCAAGATCTTCGAGGATCGGTTGTCGAGACTTCTGAACGTCTCTGGCCATTCTTTCCTCCAGAGGTCTTCAGGGACCGCAGTCGTTTTCGTCTTCGTTGTCGTTGTCGACGTCGTCGTCATCATCGCCGTTGTCGGCTTCGGCGTCGTTGTCGATTGTCGCTGATCGACCGTCGACCGTCGTTGTCACCGACGACGTTGTCGTGATCGTCTTCGTCGTCATCGATGTCTGCGCCGTCGCTGTCGTCGTCGTCGTCGCTGTCGTCGTCTTCCTCTTAGTCGTCGTCCCTGATGTCGTCGTCGTCGCCGTCGTCCCCGTCGACGTGTTTGTCGTCGTCGTCGCCGTCGTCGTGCTTGTCGTCGTCGTTGTCGTCGTCGCCGTCGTCGTCATCGTCGTAGTGTTCGACGTCGCCGTCGTCGCTGTTCTACCGTCGACCGTCGTCGTCGCCGACATCGCCGCCGTCGTCGTCGACCATCGTCGTCGTCGTCGCCGTCGTCGTCGTCGCCGTCGTCGTCGTCGTCGTCGTCGGCGTCGTCGTCGTTGTCGCAGTCTTCGTCTTCGTCGCGATCATCTTCGTTGTCATCGTCTTCTTCGCCGCCGTCGCCGTCGTGTTTGTCGTCATCGTCGTTCTGTCGTCGTCTTCCTCGCAGTCGTCGTCGTCGTTGTCGTGATCGTCGTCGTCTTCGTCGTCGATATCTTTGTCGTCGTCTTCGACGTCGTCGTCGCGTCGTCGTCGTCGTTTTCGTCGCCGTCGTCGTCGATGCCGCTCGCCCACCGTCGACCGTCGTCGTCGCCGCCGCCGTCGCCGACGTTGTCGTCTTCGTCGACAGGAGTAGGATGGGTCAACGACGAGCCCCCCCTCGGGGAAGTCAAGCAGAGCAGGAGGAGGACGAGGAGGAGGAGGATTATGACAAGGAGGAGGACGAGGAGGAGGAGGAGGAGGAGGAGGAGGACGAGGAGGAGGAGGAGGACGAGCAGGAGGAGGACGAGGAGGAGGAAGCGCCGCTTGGGCTCAAGCCGCTCAGCAACGAGCGGAACCCCCACTGTTCAAGCCGGCAAGGTGGTGGCTCTCTTGGCTGGCGCAGACGGTGGCGGGCGTCGGGCTGATGTCGGTGGTTACGGGCAGGGTTGGGATTTGGGCGATCCTCGGAGGAATCGAGCGGCGCGGACAGCGGCCGCGAGGATGCTGCTATGGTGCGTCTGACCCGCCAGTTGGAGGAGGCCCATTCCATGGTCGCGACCCTGGATTCGGAGATCCCCATACATGTCGATCGATTTCGGTGGTGAGTGGCGTATCAGGGTGAAGGTGATCATTCCTTTGCTGGCGGCGGGCCTGTCGGCTGAAGAGTGCGGGGGGGTTGCGAGAGCCAGGCGGACCTTCGCCCGCACGACTTCACAACGCCAGCGAAGATCACCCATAAATCCTTCCAAGCCTAGTTGAACACCATCCAGCGGCGTCCAAAGGGACGCGATGCATTCCAGTAGGTTCGGGGAAGCGTAAGACTCGAGTAAGCCGGAACTCGGCTTTGCCGACGTTTTCTGACGAGGGGACGCCCTGGATTTCGACGGTCCAGTTTTCGTGGGATGTTTGCATCGGGAGCTCGCGTCAACTTTCAGACTGGGTCTCGTCATTTTTATGATGGCCCAGTCGGGCCCAACCCGAGTCCCCCCAACTCGAGTCGTACGTCTCCCCGGAAGGCGGTGGAGCCCGTGGCGCCTGCAGCGGGGCAGTCTGCCCCTAAGAGTGTTGGCATGCGGTGCTCGTGTGGAGCGCAGTGGCCGCCACGGCGTGCGCTCGTAGCCACGCTGGAGCGCCACCGCGCGTGGCTGGAACTCCGCGGGAGCTGCAGGTGCCGCTCATGCTCAGGCGCGAGGCGGAGTGTTTCGTGCCGCTGGAGGCGCTTTACTTGCGGCGGGGAAACGTAGGACTCGAGTGCGCCGGAACTCGGGTTCGCATTCGTTTTTCTGCGAGTCCGCCCTGGTTTTTGACGCTTCTGTTTCCGTGGGACGTTTGCGTGAGGTCGCGTCAAATTTGAGACTGGGTCCCGTCATGCATGATGCCCCTTCAGGCCAACCCGAGCCCTCCGTACCCGAGTCCTACGTCTCCCCGACTGCAGGTGATCAATTGTTGCAGGCTCGGGTCGGGAAATTGCCGAGGATCAGCTCTTCGCCCGTCGCTGCTCGCGGCTCGATCGAAATGGGCACGACCGAAATTGGCACGAAAAGAATGGGTACGATGCCCAAACAACAGTTCCTGTTCACTTTGAACAAGACTCGCTGTCCGCGCCGCCGCGGACCCTGTCCATTTGAGACGCCGGCTCACGTGCCAAACAGCGGCCGCTGTCGGTTTTGGACAGCCACTGTCGTTGTGCATCGTACCCGCTTTTTCCGTACCCATTTCGGGCGTCCAAATCAAGGAGGTTGGCGGGTTTGCCAGACAGCAGGGCTCGTCGCCTGCTTCTGGATGCCCACGGCTGTCCGCGTGTGCGGGACCGTGGAATACGTCCTGGTGTTCCCATTCGTTCTTGGGATGTGTGCTGTTTATGAAGACCGGGTGCTTTTTTACAACAATTCTTCACGGTGATAATCCCTTGAAGAACTGAAGCGTCGATGTCCTCGGCTTCTGCTTGAGCGCAGGCGTGCTTCAAGGCAAGCATTCTTCACCATGGGCTCACAGCGCCCTACACAGCGGACGGTCGGGCCCGCTTAGGGTATTCGGGTGCGTGGCGTGGGGTGCGTGCGGTGCGTTCATATGGTGCCCTCGGGCCGTCTACCAGCTGTTAAGAATCGTTATACTTCCCCCCCCCTCCCCAGTATCAAAAATGCACGGGCAGGTTCGTTTCCGCCACGGCCTGCGTTGCGTTTGAGGGACGGGCGTGAGGCAAGAGGGCGGGCTCGGGGCGATGACGGGTGCCGAAGCGGCGGTCCGAAACCAGCCCCCTTGGGGAAGCGTGCTCCCGCACTTCGTCCCTGTCCTGCTCCTGGGCTTGGGCCTTGCGCGCGCAACCGTGCCACCTTGGAAGGTTGGGTTTCGGGGGCACGTAAACTACCAGTTTGAAACGTATTCCTATCCCTATGTCTGACATCACCTCACCTCGATGCCGATCTTAAGGATTCCCTCAGTTTCTGAGGGCCTATCCCTTAGATTTCCCTCGCTTTTTGCTCGCCCATCTCAGGGATAGGGATACGTTCGAGGCTGGTTAGTAAACATGGGTTACGGCGCGTGCGCGAGCGACGGGTCCACCTCCCATGCAGACACGGCGCGCCCCGTCGCCAACTAGAGGCGGCGCGGGCCTCGCGTTCCGGGGGGAGTTGTTCCCAGTTCCGCGCATCTGGCGCCCGCGTTCCAGATCCACTGGTCTATCATCCATGTCAGCGCGTGCCCGAGGGCTGGGCTGCGAGAGCGCAAGAAGGTGTTCAGCCGACGTTCGCCGACAGCGAAGGGTGGACTAGAGACCCTCCGCCCGCCAGGTCGATACCTTCCCGGCCATTCCGACGCTGTGGCCAGGAATGCGCGGTTGGACGAATGGGAAGAGGTTGTTGCCGTGCGCTGACCATGCTGCCATGCAGAACCGCGAGACCCTTTGAACCCGTTTTCTAAGCCATGCCACTACCCAACCCGCAGTCAAGCAGCATTGGCGCACTTGTTGCAGATTTGTGCACGATTCCGCCCTGGACGGGAGGCTCCGCGAAGAAAGGTGGAAAGGGAAACTTTTGTGCCAGCAATATGACAACGTCATCGATGTTGCGTGAGGCATTCCGAAAAACATCGGGAAAGATCGGGGCGGTCACGACACAATGGGATGTCGCAGGCGACTGTGTGGGGGGGGGGGCACCACGTGGCATTATCCTTGTCCCTTGTCGTTGTCCGTCCCCCGTGGCCTCGCGCCTTCTCATTGTTTTTCCGCTGTGTCTCCTGAATGTATCATTAAGATGATTCCCTACCTAGGCTCTGCCTAGAAGGGTTCTTACTCTCTAGCTTAAAGGGGCCGGGCAGTGGAAAGCGCCCCGGGCGGTTCCCCCAGTCCCCTGGGAGCGGTTCCCCCCAGTCCCCTGGGAGCTTTAGCTTTAGCTTTAGCTTTAGCTTAAGCTTTAGCTTAGCTTTAGCTTAGCTTTAGCTTAGCTGTAGCTTAGCTTTAGCTTAGCGTTTCGCTTAGCTTGTCGCTTAGCGTTTAGCTTAGCTTTAGCTTAGCTTTAGCTTAGCTTGAGCTTAGCTTGAGCTTAGCTTTAGCTTGGCTTTAGCTTAGCTCTAGCTTAGCTTTAGCTTAGCTTTTGCTTAGCTTTAGCTTAGCTGTAGCTTAGCTTTAGCTTAGCTGTGGCTCAGCTTTAGCTTAGCTTTAGCTTAGCTTCAGCTTAGCTGTAGCTTAGCTTTAGTTTAGCTTTAGCTTAGCTTAGCTGTGGCTTAGCTTTAGCTTAGCGTTACTGTTACTACTAATGCTGCTTTCCTAGGGGTTCCAACTCCTAGGTAGGGTCGCACTGGGATAATAATTCTGTTTGGCCAACGGAAGATTGACGGAACGCTCTCGTCCGAGCGTGGGCTTCATTGTCTTTGGAAACGAGGCTAACGCTCGAGCGTATTTTTCCATTCACATGCCAAATGTGGGCACCCGAACTACAACAACAACAACAACGGTTCCCGCCTGAGGCTTCCAGTCAGCCAATTTGGGCTGGACCACCGCTCGCAGTGTACGCAGGAACCGTGCTCTTCAATGGGGGTTTCTTCGTGATGCGTTCACGACCCTTGACTGCCCCGAGATTCCCCCCACAAGTGATTCCACCCCGCCCGAAAGTTCCGCACACTTTATTCCGGAATCGCCCGCCCGCCCGCCGGGGTCCGACCGGCGGCATCCGCCCGCGAGGGGGGTGCGCCAGCTTGACGCGCCCGCATTTCCCCCGTCGGGTATTTTACCTTCGAAACTGCATCGATCCCGCCCCTCCCCCTCAAAAAACATACGGCGCGCCGAGATGTGATTGTTAAGGCGTCGTGGTCAATTGGATGTTAGCCATCGCTGGCCCAAACCATGTGTTTACGGTGACCTACGTTGTTCCTCTTATGTGGTGAAGTTTGTGTAGATGACCTACGTGGTATACGACAGATACATATATGGTCTGTACAACGTCTGTGCGGCAGCCTGCGTGGCATGGAGTATATGTGGCTCGATGTACGTTGTACTTGATAGGATGAGCTTTCTATGTGGTGCAAATCATGCGTGGCAGCATGTGTGGTGCACTGTATGTGGCCCCGAATTCCTTGTGTGGTATATGTTGTGCAGCTGATGTTGTGCCATATAGGTTATTCTTCCTATGTTGTGCGACTACGTGGTGCATCCGTTGTTGTGCAATGAACTAGTGTTCGCAGTGGGTTGTCAACCATCCCACCCACCCACCCGCAACTTGGTTTGCAAAGCCCATGCGGCGGCGATTGCGATCTGCGGCCGCGCTGGCTCGCACATGCTCGCTCGCGAAGCGGCGAGCTGATTTGGCGCGACCGACGCTGCCGCGGCGGCGCTGACCGCTGAGCATGTCCAAGCGGGCACTTCAGTGCGAGTCGGCAAGCTGGGCTGGCGCGGTCTCGTGGCAGCTTCAACGATGGTAGACACGATGATGGTGATATCACACGCGAGACGCTGGCTTTTTGACGCGGGCGTGTTTTTTTGCTCAGGGCCGCCACGAAGAAAGCAAATACTTGGATTAGTCCCTGCAGTCGCCGCGGTGCTGGGATGACCGTTGGATCGATTATTTCGTTGCCGACTTTTTTGGCGCGTACCGTTCGTAGCGATGTCGGTGGCGATGATGACAGCGACGACGGCAAGGCCATCGACGGCGCCGATGCCGATGACGCCGGCGGCGATGCCGTCGTTCCGGGAGGAACGTCGGCACGCGCACGCGGCCGACGCGCGAGAGTGACCCGCCTGGTACGATTTGACACGAGTCGGCCCCCCCCCCCCCTAAGAGCGCGGGCAAGAACTTGGCATCGCTCGGACGTGTGTATTTTTCCGGCGAGGACCAACCTGGACCAACCTGGACCATCGAGCAACAAACAACACCCACGAAACCGAAAAATGCACAGGAAATGGACGTCCGAGCGCGGGCAAGAGAACGTTCGAATGATTTTGATATGCGGCGCGAGAGGCCTGGGTCAATGTAGCGACCAGCTTTCCAACACACACACACAAAATAAGGGTTGTTTCTACAGGGGCGCGCGTGCAGGCATGTACGAACAAAAACAGATGTTGCGACACCATGTGTTTTGATATGTGTTCGGGCCCCTCGGTTTTGGAATTCTTGCGCAACACATGGTTTTTGACCGTTTGCCGCATGCGCACGCGATGACGCGCGCGTGTGCACTTCGTCCCGTCTTGTGCAACATGGGCTTTTGCGAAAGCATGCGCGCAACGGCGTTCGAACGATCCCGATGTGCGCTCGCGAGAAACACGTTTGGTACCATGTGATGAAAACATTGAGAGACAACCAATGGTTTTCTCAAGAACCCGCAAGAGCGCGAACGCAGTTTTGTGCGGAGTTGCTGTTGCGAAACACTGTTTTTTTGGTTGCCGGGACACGCGACTTTGAATTCTTTACGAAACGTGCGGGGGTGGTCGGCATGCGCGCGCGACGACGCACGCGTGCGCACTTCGTCCCGCTTGTGCTAAGAAGTCTTCAAACTGATGATTTGTGATAAACGAGCGCGCGCGCATGGTAACTGTTGCATGCGATGAGGGGGGACGATGCCACGTAAGCCGGGATAGGAATCATTCATATTTCGGATGGACGGTGTGGCAGAATCGTGTGTGAGTTGCGGTGCAATCTATGTGGTGCGATTCGCCCTGCCGACTTTGATGTTGTCAATCTTACTGCTCTCGCCATCATCCCACCCACCCACCCACCCGCAACCTGTTTTGCAAACCCCTTGCGGCGGCGAGTGTGCGCCAACGCCGGCCGGAGCTAGAAGACCTTGTTGAAGGCCATGGGGGGCGCAAACCCGCAGCGTCAGCAGAGGCAGCAGCAGGCTGCCGCAACCAACGCTCCAGGGATGATTGCACGAAACCGCAGCACCCATATGCGGGAGGCGGCTACCCCAGGGCACGTGGGGGGGCCCCGCTGGCCAGGGGATACCCTCAGCACGGGTCCAGCGGAAGCTCCAGGAGGCTCGTGACGGTGTGGACCGCCTCGAGGACGACATGCACCGGAGGCCGCTGTGGCGAGGACCGCCGCGTCGGCCCTGCGCATGCCGCCGCAGCGGCCGCGCAATCCAGCCGCCCTGCTGCCGCGGGCACGCTGGGCCTGCACGGGCAGCGGAGGCGCTGGCCGGAAGGATCTCGTGCAGCGTGGTCGCCGACGCGCGCCGGGACACGACCATAGCAGGGGCGGCGCTTGAGCGCAAGCCGTGGCGTCGCAGAGTGCTGAAAGGGGGCAAGACGGCTGCGACTACGGCTCGGGCCTGAGACCTCGGGGGGGGCGCCGGCGGCGGCAGACCATGGCAGTGTCGCGAAGACGTGCTCAACTCTGAAGAAGCTCTGTTGTGAGGAGCAATGGGACCTGTACAAGAGTGAGGGCCCAGGTCAACTCGCAGAGTCAAGCTTGTACGAAAGCTGGCCAGGCCAGGGTGCCAACCGTCTGTGTCGACGCGACTTGGCTTCGCAGCTCTATTGGCTGCGGTCCTGGCCAGCTGTTCTGCTGTGAAGACAGGGGCAGGAGGCGGGGGGAAAAGAGGCAAAACGCGGGGAGGTGAGAGGGAGGAGCCCCGTTGGGCAAGTCCTCGGGGGAGGGAGGAGGGAGAATGGGCGGGTTCTTCATCCCCCTTCCCCCGTTTCCCTCCCTTCCCGGGCGCCCGTGCGCGGCGTTCGGGCGAAGTCCGAATTTTGGAGACCATTGGCCTTCCATCCGTTGGCTGTCGGAGCTTCTAGCTTCGGGGAGCTCGGTTGCAAAAAGGGCGTCTCGACCGAAACGCCCGGCCCGCCCCCCTTCCGTGCACAGTCAACCCGAATAGTAAGGATGGGCAACCTTCCCAAGGGTATCCTTGCATCCTTGCCTCCTCAGGTCCATCCCTGGCTACTTCGTTGGCCGCGCCCCGCTCGAGAATCTTCGGAATGGGCGCCCAAGGCTCCCGCATTCTTACTGCGCATCCTCATGATACGGGTCGATTGTACGCCTGGTGTGAGGTCGGGCACGTCCTCCCTCTACAGGATGATTCTTCGAAAATGGTAAGAACATAGTCTGGGGACGATTTTTGTTGTATTTCTGGATTTGTTTGAACATGTTGTTGGGTATGTTTGATTCTTCGTCCAACATCCCGCTGCAGGGGCACATGCCCGACCTAAGCCTGGTGATGCGACCCGTGCCGAGGTTCTCGATCATGAAGAAGGCCCTTTTGATTTTCCGTCCAACATCCCACTGCAGAGGCACATGCCCGACCTAAGCCTGGTGATGCGACCCGTGCCGAGGTTCTCGATCATGGAGAAGGCCCTTCTGATTTTTCGCCCAACATCCCCCTGCAGAGGCACATGCCCGACCTAAGCCTGGTGATGCGACCCGTGCCGAGGTTCTCGATCATGAAGAAGGAAGGCCCTTTTGATTTTTCGTCCAACATTCCCCTGCAGGGGCACATGCCCGACCTAAGCCTGGTGATGCGACCCGTGCCGAGGTTCTCGATCATGAAGAAGGCCCTCACCACCGCCCAGAACACCGACGCGGGGGGGGGGGGGGCGCTGGGCGCGGGCGGGGGCGCCCTGCCGCACGCGCACCACGGCGCGGCCGGCGCGCATCCTTCTGCGGCGCGGGGGCCTCGGGCCGAAGGCTGGCGCGGGGAGCTCTGGGGAGTTTTATTTGTTCATTCTTTTGTCGATCGGCGCGGGCCCTCGCACCCCGCCCTATCCCCCCTCCCCTCCTGGAGTAGATCTTGGCTGTTTTGGGGCGCCTACTTCCAGCGGGTGGAGGCTCCCCCATAGAACGCACGGTTCCAAACAGTCGCACTAAGCAGAGGTCCGAAGCCAGACCCCCCTCCCCCTCTTCCGCCCAGTGTCGAAACGTAGATGAACGTTCACGAGCCTGAGGGGCAAAAGCACACCGACAAGTCTGATCGCGGATTCCCAGGAGAATCCCACCAGCCTTCTGGGCGTGGGTGGTCTAGCACGTTTCCTCTTCCACCCCTCCCTCTCCCCCTCCGGGGAGGGGTGAAACGGTTTGCCCCTCCCCCTTACCCCCTCCCCTGGACCTGGAGAGGTGGGGTCGCGGGTCGCTGGAGCGTCCAAATTGGCCCTCCAGGAGAGCCCAAGATGACTTCCAAGATGGCCCAAGATGGCTCAATGTGCTCCACAGATGCTCCCAGAGGCCCCAAGACCGCTCCAAGACGGCTCCGATTGGCCACGGATCCTCCCGAGGAGGCCGCCAAGAGGCCAACATTGTTCAACAACCTTTTGGAAAATCAATGAAGTTTGCCTTCTCGCCTTTTCGCTTCCGATGGCCTTCATAGGCCTCACGACAGCTCCAAGAGAGGGCCCATGAGCCCAGGAAGACCCCAAGAGAGGCACAAGAGAGCCCAAGAGCGCTCCAACAGCGCCCCCAGAGGGACCCAAGAGGCGATTTGTGGTGCTACCGAGGGGGGATTGTAATTAGAGCTCCCACCTTGTTTGATCAATCTCCTCCAAGATAGCCCCAAGAGAGCTTCCAAGGCTCCCAAGAGCGCCGCAAGAGGGCCCCTATAGCCGCCCAGGAGGCCCCAAGGGGCGCCCAAGAGGAGAGACCCCCAAGAGGCTCCCCGAGGCACCCAAGACGCTCGACGAGGCTCCCGGGACCGCCAAGAGGCCCCCAAGACGCTCCAAGATGCTTCTCAAGAGACATCCGAGGAGACTCTGAGAGGTATTCAAGAGGCCTCTGGCCCTTCTGCTCACTCTTCTTCTCCTCCTCCTCCTCCTTCTTCTCCTCCTTCTCTTCCTCCTCCTCCTCCTCCGTCTTCCTCTTCCCACCCTCCTCCTCCTCCTCCTCCTCCTCCTCCTCCTCCTCCTCCTCATCATCATCATCATCATCATCATCATCATCATCATGATCATCATCATCATCATCATCAGCATCATCATCATCCGCCTATTATTTCCTCCCTCCTCCCTCCCTCCTCCCCCTCCGCCATTTCGTCTTCCTCGTCCTCGTCCTCCTCCACTTTCTCTTTCCTCCTCCTCCTCCTCTTCTTTCTTCTCCGATTCCTCCTCCTCGTCCTCATCATCCTTCGATTCCTCCTCATTTCTCCCCCTCTTGGGGTACGAGTGTTTTTGTCCTCCCCTTTGTTCGTATGTTTGATCCCCCACTTCCCTGATCGAGGCAACTCCTCTGGGCATCGTCTCTGAATGGGCTGGTGGGGCTTCGCGAATCGTCAAGAGTATGCGAAAATATCGCAAGTGGGGGGGAAGACGAACGCCCAGAAAATATTCGAAAAATAGGGATCCTGGGATTTGTGTGTATCCGTTTGTGTGCCCCTGGGTCCCTTCAGATTTGCTCGGTCGTCGCAAATGGAGCCTTGTGTGCCCTCGTACAATATCGCCTCGAGAGCGCACTGGCGTCTAGGAGCGTCTGGTAGTAATCGATCGGGGCAGCGCCGAGGCGGCGTCGACGAGCGCCGATGGCGCGTCGACGAGCGTGGATTCGGACGAGCTCGCGAGATGGCTCGCGTGAGTTGCGTCGTCGAGCATGGGGGGCTCGCGATGAGGCTCGCGAGGAGGCTCGCGACGATGCGTCGTCGAGCATGGGAGGCTCGCGTGAGATGCCGCAGGAGGCACATGCCCAGCGTGCAGCGAGGCGGCGGCCGTGGAGGTGTCCGGCGGGGCGCAGCTTGAGTTCTGGTCTGGAGGGGTCGACCACGCGTATAAGTGACCCTCCTTCTCCTCCTCTTCTGCCTCCTCCTCCTCCTCCTCCTTTTCCTCCTCCCCCTCCTCCTTCTCTTACTCCTCCTCCCTTTCCTCCTCATCCTCATTATCATTATCCTCCTCCTCCTCCTGCTCCTCCTGCCCTCCTCTTCCTCCTCCTCCTCCTCCCTGCCCTCCTCTTCCTCCTCCTCCTCTTCTTCCTCCTCCTCCTCCTCCCTCATGTCGCCAAATTTAAGGCCCCGGAAGCGTCCGGTTCGGTGCGGTTCCGTCAGGTTCGGCCCGGTACGGTTCGAAATCGAATATGGTTCGGTTCGGTTCGTTTCGAAATTGGGTCTCATTCGGTTCCGGTTCGGTCCGGTTCTTGTTGACAAAACGTGCGGTTCGTACCAGCTCCGTTCGGCCCGGTTCGGTTCGGCTTGTTCGGTTCGGTTTTTGAGCCTTCTTGCGACTCGGCTAGCTTACGTTGAATTTGCGGGGGGGCCTCGCCTGTCCCCCAGATTGGTGCCTTTTCCTGTGCCCGACGCTGGCTCGCTGCGGACTTTACACGCAGTTGGTGGGTGGGATTTGACCAGGACTCGTGCTGGATTCGACACGTGTCGACGCGGATGGGTCCCCGATGGGACAGACAGGGTCCCCCGAGGATGCAACAGAAGGCTGCCGATTCCCGGCGATCCGATGCACTCCGAGCGCCGATCCGACTCGTCGGTTCGACGTTGGGCTCTCTCCTGCTCTGCGTCGCTTTGTTCGCCTTCCTGGGCCTCCGGGGAGGCCCTCGTCGCCACCGCTGGATTCGCCTCGAAGCTCCAGTCAGAACGCACCCTGGGAGGGGTACGTGGAGTAGCGGGTATCTGTACCTGCTGGTTTCCCCCGATCCTGGCGACAACCAGCGAGCTAAGCTCGGCAATCTTACGCGCGGCCCGCATCCCACACTACATGGGTTGCGATGCCCTCCTTATTATGAAGGGTGCGCTCGGGCAAATTGGACATCTCTGGGTCAAGCTCCTCTACGTTCCTCCTCTTCCTCTTCCTCCTCCTCTCCCCTCATCTACCCCCCGTTCCTCTTCCTCCTCCTCCTCCTCCTCCCTCATCTACCCCCCTTTCCAGTCCTCCGCCACAGCTACTGAATATGAGTACTACTCTCTTCTCTTCCCTGATGTTGTCTTCATTTTTCCCCCGTTCATTTCGTACACTGTTGTGTACCGACGGGGCTGTCCTGAGCTTGGTTTCAGGAGCGGTGCCTTCTCCCGTAGTTTGGATTTGCGCCGCTGTCGTCCCAGCGCGGGCTACATCTCTGGATTGGATGAGTGCTTCGTCGTTGCCGTCCCCCTTCTTTTCCCTCCTCCGCCTTGCCTTGGCCCTCTGGCTCCTACTCTGCCTGCTCCTGCTGCTGCTCCTGCCCCTTTCCCCCTTCCTCATCATCATCCTGCTGTTCCTCCTGGTCATTCTCCTGCTCATCCAGCGCCTCCTCCTCCTTTTTCTCGTCGAATGTACAAGGCCCCCCTCTCTGATTGCGCATCACACGATGGGGTCTGTAGGGATCAATGTCAGCTAGGTCGTCCCTGGCTGCAAGTAGAACAACCATCCGCGCAATTTGAAGGAACGGGTGGGAGGGGTAGAATGACAGATATAGCGCGCGCACCAAGCCTGTCTTCTACCTCCTCCTTTCTCCTCTCTCCTCTTCCGCGTCCTTCTTTGCCCCCCCATCCTTCTTCTCGAACTCTTCACTTGGAGTCACCAGAACGGAACGTGCAAATGGGGCTCCATCCTCCGTCTTCAGGAGGAGGATCATAATCAGGAGGAGGAAGATGAGGAGGAGGAGGAGGAGGAGGAGGAGGAGGAGGAGGAGGAGCACGAGGAGCACGAGGAGCACGAGGAGCACGAGGAGCACGAGGAGCACGAGGAGCACGAGGAGCACGAGCAGCAGCAGGAGGAGGTCGGCCTCCTCCTCCTCCTCCTCCTCCTCCTCCTCCTCCTCCTCCTCCTCTCCTCCTCCTCCCGCTCTTCCTCCCTTTCTCCTGCAGCCCAAGATCGGGGGCTCGCGTTGCCGGCGCCTGCTGGCGGAGGGGTTGATCCCTAAGGGCTTGGCGACTTCTCGCCGGTCGATTCGCGGGAGCTGAGTCAGATAAATCCGGGTCGATGCAGAGAAACCGAGGTGAATCTTAATGGGCCCCGTTTTCACCGCCATTACCATAGGCAGGGGGGGAGGAGGAGGAGAGGAGGAGGAGGAGGAGGGGGAGGACTTCCTCGTCCTCCCTTCTCCCCCGTCCTACCTGTGGCAGTGGTGGTGGCAAACTGGCCCGTCAAGTCCAGGTCAATCGTGGCACATCCCAGCGAATCCAGCGACCTCCAGAGGGAAGTCCAGAGCAGCCCGCGGCCGCTCCGCGGCGCGAGTCGGCAGGACGGCAGCCGTCGTGAGGCCCTCGTTGGCGCCGTGGGTCGGGGGGCGGGCGTGCGGCTCCACGTCGGCCCCGGCGAACCCTATACCCCCGGCCCCCCACGAGTTCTGAGGGGGAGGGTGGGGTTCACTTCGCTCGGGGGCTCCCGAGCGAAGTGAACCCCACCCTCCCCCTCAGAACTCGTGCGGGGTAGGGGTAGGGTTCGCATGTGGCCCCCTACCCGGGACCTCCGGCCGCTCCAAGGTTCTCGCTGCGTGGGCCCCGGAGGCCCGGCCCGCTTCCCCCGGGGGGTCGTCGGCTCTGCGCCGCCCCGAGTCGTTTTTGTGGACGGCCTCCCCGGGCCCGGCGAGGGCCCCCCGAGGCCGACAGCGGCTCGAATTACTGCCAGTGGAGGACGAACAGTGGAGAGGGAGCACGTTGCCAAATCGTTTCCAGATGTCTAAAACATGTCTATCAGGAGGGAAAAGAGACACACAGACACAATTAATCGTCGACTCCCCAGAAAAGATGGGAAAATATGGGAAGTGGGGGGGAGACTAAAACCCAGAAAATAGGTGGAAATATGGGGAATCTTGTTATTTGTGTGTATTTATTTGTGTGTCCCAGGGCCCCTTCAGATCAGTGGAGAGGGAGCATGTTGCCAAGTTATTTCCAGATGTCTAAAACATGTCTAAAGCATGTCTCAAACATGCTTCAAGCATGCTTTAGACATGCTGGCATCATGTGTAGAGCATGGTTTCCTACATGTTACACACAGTTAGAGAATTCAACGATCGGACTGTTAGGGTGTCCACTGTCGTGGCATCCGCGCCGCCAGCTCCAGGTTTTGTCGGAGCGTCGGGCCTCCCGGGGCCTCGGGACCTCTCCCCCGCGGGGGGGCCCTCCCGACCCGCCTCTTTGTCCCGCGCGGGCCTCCCGGCCGCGGGGGGCGGCGAGAGGCCCCTCTCTCTCCAGGGGGGGGGCCCTCCTCCTCCTCCTCCCTCCTCCTCCCTCCTCCTCCTCCTCCTCCTCCTCTCCTCCTCCTCCTCCTCCTCCTCCTCTCCTCCTCCTCCTCCTCCTCCTCCTCCTCCTCCCTCCTCCTCCTCTCCTCCTCCTCCATCTCCTCCTCCTCCTCCTCCTCCTTCTCCTCCACGTCAGTATCAGACGTTCTTTTATTAATAAAAAAAAAACACATTCTTCCAACTTCCGCCTATAGGAGGACGTGCCCAACCGAAGCCTTCTGGGAAGGCCGCCTCTTCTCATTCTCCCCCCAGGCGCGCCGCTGGGGCGAGGGGGCCAGGGCCGCACAAAGAAATGACTACGTAGGCACGGATCCCAGCATTCCCAGCACTCCTCGATGTATTGCCAAGGCCTGACGGACGGTGCCGCCGACCCTGAAGACGACGACGGCGACTGCGAGGAGGAGGAGGAGGAGGAGGAGGAGGAGGACGGGGATTAAGGTGGAAGGGAGCAGGAGAAGGCGGAGGAGGTGTTCCCCATGTGGGCCGAGGGATGGGCATCTGTGGGGCTCTCTTAGAGGCCTCTAGGGCCGTGACGCGGATCCCAGCACTCCCTCCACACTTCTCCGTGCATTTTCTTTGAACTTCGTCTTCCCCGCGCTCGCCGCCAAGTGGGAGCAGGGGGGCGGCGCAAGGGCGTCGACGCGGACAGCGGCGGCTTCCAGAGCGGCTCCACCAGCCACTCTGACTTCGACCTGGGCGGGGGGCCTCGGCAGCCACCGCCGCGCCGTGCCCGCGCTCCTGTCGTGAGGGGGCAGGAGGAGAAAGGAGGAGGAGCAGGTGGAGGAGGAGGAGGAGGAGGAGGAGACGGACCAGTGTAAACCCAAGACTCATCAACGATGTTGAAATACACCCTCCCTCCAAGATCCCTCTCCAGAGGCTCCTACAAGGTGTCATTTCCGCTGAGGGAGTTGCCCCACTGGGGGACAACAGTGTGAACATCTTGAGACGTGCCAACTCACCATTTCAGGACTTCAGCGCCACGAGGTCACCTGACCGTTACGTCTTGACGATCCTGAATCGTGCCAGAATACCATCCTTTGGACTTCAATACCGCGAATTCAGGTAACTGTTGCGCCCTGTCAGTCCTGAGTCTCTCGAAAACTCCTATGGGACGTTCACCATGAGAACCAACGAAAGCCCTTGCAGATGTTTAAATGGAATGTGCGCGGCGCGAAGGAGGCAGCAACAGTTTGAAAACGGACCGCCCTCAACCCGTGAGGCTCTTGCACTTTTTCAGCACGAATGCGCGCGAGCCGCATTTTGAAAACCACCCGCCCTCAATCCGTGAAGCTCTAGCGAACATTTACAGAGTGCGCGCGGCGCTAAGGCCAGAGCCACATGTTGAAAACCACCCGCCCTCAATCCGTGAAGCCTTTGCGAATGTTTACAACGAATGTGCGCGGCGCTGATGCGAGAGCCACATTTTGAAAACCACCCGCCCACAATCCGCAAAACTCTTGCACTTGTTTGAAGCGAGTGTGCGCCGCGCGATGGAGAGAGCCACATCCTGAAAATCACCCGCCCTCCATGCGTGAAGCTCGAGCAAATAATGAAAACGAATGTGCGCGACGCTAAGGCGAGAGCCGCAGTTTGAAAACCACCCGCCGTGAATCCGTGAACATCTGGCATTTACGCGAAGTTGAGAGCCACATTTTGAAAACCACCCGCCCTGGGGAAGTCTCAGGCGAAACGCCTGGCCCACCCTTCCAACCGGCCTCGGGGTGCGACAGGGAGGCGTTATCTATCCGGCTTCGAGTGGAGCGCCGCTGCGAGTCGGCGCGGCGGCATCTCGCATCCGGCTCCGTTGGCCCATCCGTGACGCTCGAGTCAGGAAGAAGGGGAGGAGGAGGAGGAGGAGGAGGACGAGGAGGAGGAGGAGGGGGATGAGGAGGGGGGGAAGGAGGATGAGGAGGATGAGGAGGAGGAGGAGGAGGAGGAGGAGAAGGAGGAGGAGGAGGAAGAGGAGCAGGAGGAGGAGGAGGAGGAGGGGGAGACGGACCTGGACCCCCCAACAAAACACGAGCGCAGGCAAAAAGCCGCTCAGGATATGAAGCCGTCCCCTGGGCAGAAGTCCAGACTTCTGAGGGTCTACGCCATGGAGACGCCGCGACGAAGGACCTTTGGGGGTCCAGGCCTCTTCGGGCTTTTTGCCCGTGCTCTTGTCCGCAGCGCGGCGGCAGCGGCTGCGGTGACGACAACGACGACGACGACCACGACGACGACGACGACGACAACGGCTAGCCTTCGCTTGACGGCGGCGGCGGGGCCCTTGTGTTCGAACGAAGGCCCTTCTGCGTGTTCGGCCCTCGGGATCCCTGGAAGGCCTTGGAGACGGATACAAACGGCTGATGACAAAGACACGGCCTTGGGGAACGGGCCCGAACCTTCGGGGACCCCTTACTGAGCAAAAAAACGCCAGACGTAGGAGGCAGGATGAGGAGGAGGAGGCAGGATGAGGAGGATGGGGATCCAGGCTTCCTGGATGGGGTCGAAGTAGAAGGGGTCGGTGGTCGCGCCGCATCGCCGATGCATCGGCGATGCGGCTGGATGGGGAGCCCGGTGTTCTCCACGCCGATGTCGCCGATGAATCGGCGGTGCATCGGTGATGCGTCGGCGATGCGGCGCGATCCTCCCAGCTCGTCTTCTTGGACCTCCTGTAGAGGGGGCCGATGCGGGGAGGAGGGAGACGAGACAGATAATAGAGCAAGTCCAAGTTGTCCGAACCCACCTGCTTAACAACATAGTCAAACAATGAAGCTGAGCAGCCCACCCAAGCAGTCGCCTGCCGAGGAGTCTCCCCCCAGCGCAGCCGCTTTAGGCGGGACTTCTGCGCGCTGGGGGTCTTAGGAGGGAGGAGGGGGAGGAGGAGGGAGGAGGAGAGGAGGAGGAGGGGAGGAGGAGGAGGGGGAGGAGGAGGAGGAGGATGGGAGGAGGAGGAGGGAGGAGGAGGAGGAGGAGGAGGAGGAGAGAGAGGAGGAGGAGGAGAAGGCGGGAGGGGGAGGAGGGAGGGGGAGGAGGGGAGGAGAGGGAGGAGGAGGAGAGGAGGCGGAGGAGGAGGAGGAGGAGGCGGAGGAGGAGGAGGAGGAGGAGTAGGGGGAGGAGGAGGAGGAGGGAGGAGGAAGGAGGGGAGGAGAGGGGAGGAAGGAGAGGAGGAGGAGGAGGAGGAGGAGGAGGAAGATGAGGAGGAGGAGGAGGGAGGAGAGGAGGGAGGAGGAGGAGGAGGAGGAGGAGGAGGGGAGGGAGGAGGAGGATGGAGGAGGAGGAGGGAGGAGGAGGAGGAGGAGGAGGAGGAGAGGAGGAGGAGGAGTAGGAGGAGGAGGAGGAGGAGGAGGAGGAGGAGGAGGATGGAGGAGGAGAGGAGGAGGAGGGAGGAGGAGGGGAGGAGAGGAGGAGGAGGAGGAGGAGGAGGGAGGGGAGGGGATGAGGAGGAGGAGGAGGAGGAGGAGGAGGAGAGGAGGAGGGAGAGGAGGAGGAGGAAGGGAGGGAGGAGGGAGGAGGGGGAGGAGGAGAGGAGGAGGAGGGGGGAGGGGGAGGGGGAGGAGAGGAGGAGGGGAGGAGGAGGAGGGAGGAGGGGGGAGGAGGGAGGAGGGGGGGAGAGGGCGGAGGATCTGTTTTTGTTTCACACGCTACTGCGTGCTCTCTCTCCCCATGCAGGCCTCGGGAGGCTTCCGCTGGACCTCCTTGAGTCCTTCGAGATGCCTCCAAGGACCAACGGAGATCCCTCGAGCAGACTTTGAGACCTTCCACGTCGACCTCGTCGTCGCCGTCGTTGCTGTCTCGTCGTCGTCCTCATCTTCGTCTCCGTCTTCGCCCTCGTATTCGCCCCCTTCCGAGCCAGAGTGTCTGAAGGTGTGCTCCGGTCGCGGGCTGGCCGAGGGATTTCGCCCCCCTCTCGGCAGCGCCAAACAACCTTCTTGATGGAGGCACCTTTCAGATTGTTGCTCTGGTGGCTGTATAATATGCATGTGATCGCCTTCAACGTCTTACTGACTTTTCCCGCGGATTGAAAGCATCAGGTCATCAGTCGGCTGGGTTGGGCCCTCCCATCGTCCAGAGACCAGCTCTGTGCGCCGCCGACGTCGACCTCCGCGCTGGTGGTGGCCCCGACGCCGCCAGAACACGACTCCCCGCGCGCACTTTTTGCAGGAGGCGCATCAGAGGAGAACTCGGCCTGAGAGCGGGTGGCCCAGGGAAATTCCTCGTCCCCCGATGGTCACGTTGGGATTGACGCGGAGGTTGCTTGGGGGATAGGGAAGGTCGATGCCAAGGCGGATCGTACCTGGCCTCACCGAGCCTCGATTCCATATGGGTTACACATGCCCCTAGTCGTCTAGGGTGGTTAGATAATTCCGCCAAACGGGCTTTGTCCACTTAGCCCAGATCGCTAACCCACCCCCTTCGCTACTTGGGGCATGTGCGACTCATTTTTAAGCCATGCTGGGTAAGGTATAGCCCACCGAAGCATCCACTGATGACCCCCCTCTTCTCCTGAGCACCCCTCCCGCCGATCCCAGCGATGGCCCCAGGGATCCACAGAAGTTCTGGGGTGCTTTAAGACCCGCAACGGTAGACGAAGAGTGTGCCCCAAGAATTCTCATTGCTGGATTACTACCTTAGGTGTCTGCTGCTTTCATGATGACCTGCCCGTCCATACATGGATGTGATGTGGGCATACGCGAGGGTGAGAGGTTCGTTGATCCATCGAAGGAAGGCACTGCCGCTGTAATTGCGTTTCTGCCATCGTCCATCGCCGACCTGCCTATGTGGATCTGGCCGCGACTTGGCGACTTGCTGTTGTGGTCCGTGCACGGGCGTCCTGAGGCGACACGATGCTGAACCTCCACCCGAAGCAGATGTCGAACATGGGTCCCCTGGGCGGCGGGACTGTGTTGGGAAGCTGCACACACTTAGTCTCGGCCGCACGGAAGGGTAGGATAGGGAACGGGGGGGTTACGAAATTTGCTGCATGTAGCTGATTTCCGCCCCGCCGCGTGGCCCTTTTCCCAATACATGAACGCCTCCCGGCGCCGGGAGGCCCCAGAAAAACCAGCTATGTGAGCTAATTTTCTACCCTGCCCTTTGTCATCGTATACCCATGCCACTACCATTTCCTCGTTTTTCCATCTAGGAGCCTCCTGGGAGGCCCTCGTCGCAACCGCTGGATTCGCCTAGAAGTTCTGGTCAGAACGTACCCCAGGAGAGGCCCTGGGAGTAGCGGTATCCGTACCTTTTGGTCTCCCCAGTTTGTGGTCGTGTTCGTGTTTTTTGTATCGTTGTCTTGACACCGTCCGGTCTATCCCATGTTGAATGGGGTCCTCGTCGTTTTGATTGCGCAACGCCCAACGGCCTTCCGTCCGTCTTTCCTTCCTCATCCCCTTCCTATCTCCTCCCCCTCTCTGCATTTGCTCTCCGTGGTCTCTGCTTCGGCACGCCTCTCACACGTTCTGTGGGCCCATAGGGAGATCCTCCGGAGGCCACGGTGGCTGCGTTCTCATGTCTCCTTTACATCATTTCGCGCAGGGAGCTCTACCGAAGGTCACAGTGGCAGTGTTCGCATGCCTCCTCCGCAGAATTTCTACGCACCCCTCACACGCTTCGCTGTTCCACAGGGAGCTCCACCGAGGGCCCCAGCGGCTGAGTTCGCATGCCTTACTCACCCTGTTTCAGCGCACCTCTCACACGTTTCGTGGCCCCATCGGGAGCTCCACCAGAGGCCCCAGTGGCTTCGCTCTCATGCCTCATCCACACCATTTCTGCGCATCCCTCACACGTTTCGTGGCCCCATCGGGAGCTTCACCGAAGGCCCCAGTGGCTGCGTTCGCATACATGTCGGCGCAGCTCTCACACGTTTTGTGGCCCCATGGGGAGCTCAACCGAAGGTCCCAGTGTCTGCGTTCGCATACCTCTTCAGCACCATGCCGGCGCAACTCTCACACGTTTCGTGTAGGCCCCAGTTGTATGTGTGTCCGCGCCCATTTCCGCACTCCTCTCACACGTTTGGTGGCCCCATAAGGAGTTACACCGAAGGCTCCAGTGGTGGGAACCGCATGCGTGACCACGCCCAGTTTGGCGCACCTCTCACACGTTTTGTGGCCCCAGTGGGGGCTCCACCGAAGGCCCCAGTGTCTGCGCTCACATGCGTAAGCGCGCCCATTCTAGCACACCCCGAAGTTTCGTGGCCCATCGGGAGCTCACAGACGGCCCAAAGACGGGGACCACGAACCGAAAAGTCTAGCCTTTAGCCCCAAGATGCTCCCAGGAGGCCCCAAGAGCCCCCCAAGAAGCCCCAAGAGGCCCCCAAGAGGCGTCCCAAGAGGCCACCAAGAGGCCAAAAGCATGGATCTCCGATGGGAAAATGTACATTTTTAGCATACACGGCTTTTCGGCTTTCACTGCGTTGAAGACGCTCCAAGAGGCCCCCAAGACCGCCCCAAGGCGGCCCAAGAGGCTGCTAAGAGGCCTCCCAACCGGCCCAAGAGGGCCCCAAGACGGCCCGAGAGGCGCCCAAGACGGCCCCAGAGGGCCCCAAGACGGCCCCAAGAGGGGGACCACGAACCGAAAAGTCTAGCCTTTCGCCCCAAGAAGCTCTCAGGAGGCTCCCAGAGCCCCCCAGGAAGCCCCAAGATGCCCCCAAGAGCTTCCCAAGAGGCCTCCACAAGGGCTCCAAAAGGGCCCCAATAGGACTCCCACGAAGGCCCAGAGACGCCAAATAGAGAGCGATCGGTAACGCAAAAAGCTCTTCACACCAAGGCTCCCAAGAGCGAACGGTGACGTAAACAACCTGATAAGACCAAGGCTCCCAGCAGAGAGCGGTGACGTAACAAGTTCCTGACACCAAGGCCCAGCCAAGGCTCATGAACGGGCGGCAACGCAGCAATCTCTGAACATCAAGGCTCCCAAGAGCGAGGGGTGACGTAACAAGTTCTCAACGCCAAGGCTCCCGGTACGAACGGTGGTGTGAGTAATTCGGTTTCTGTTTCTGTAGCGCTCTTTCCGTTTCTGTGCCGGGCCAGGTCTAAGGGCCTTCTGTTTGTCCCGCCACCGTGCTTGGATTGTGGGTCAGAGTCTTCAGAGATGATTCTTGGGGTCTCTTCGGAACGCTCTCGTGGGCCTCTCTGGGACAGTTTTGGGGCGTCTTGGGGACACTTTTGGGTCCTTTGGGAGGCCTCCTGGAGGTCTTTTAGGAACCTCTCGGGTCCCTTTTGGGAACCGCGCCTCTTGGGGGCCTCTTGGGGCCTCTTTGGGGCCTCTTGGGAGCCTCTTGCGGCCTCTTGAGGTTTCTTGAGGGCCGTTCGGGGCCGAGGGCTCGAACTGCCCGTTCGGGTTCCCCGTCTGGGTCCCCTCTTAGAGCCGTCTTAGGGGCCTTTTGGGCCGTCTTGGAGGCCTCTTTGGCTGTTTTGGGGCCCTCTGGGGCCGTAGTGGGGCCCTCTTGGAGGCCTTTTGGGCCGCCTTGGGGTGATTTGGGGGGCCTCTTGCGCAGTCTCGAAGCGTCGGGAAGCCCGAATGGCGTGAACGTTGGAGGCCTCTTGGGACGTCTTGAGCGTTTTTGTTCGGCCGACTGGAGGCCATCTTGGGCGTCTCGGAACGACTGTTCGGCGATTCTGGGGCCTCTTAAACCGTCGTGGGGGCCTCTTGAGGCCCTCTGGGCCCCTCTTGGGCCCCCCCTTGGGACAGAAGAAGCTACGCGACAACACGCGATTGGCCTCAGACGCCACGCGACTTGCCCCAGGAGATCTGGCAATGCTGCATCCGTGCCCCTTAGACAGCCCTCAGGATTGAGGACTGAGCCTTCAGTGATCCGGCCACGGACCTGAGGACGCTCCACCTCGTCCCTCGAGGGCACGGTGGCGGATCAAGAAGTCTCCGTCTACTGGGCCCTGAGGGGATGTTCTCCTCCTTCCCTATTCCTCCTCCTCCTCCTCCTCCTGCTGCTCCTCCTCCTCCTCCTCCTCCTCCTCCTCCTCCTCCTCCTCCTCTTCCTCCTGCTCCTCCTCCTCCTCCTCCTCCTCCTCCTCCTCCTCCTCCCTATTCCTCCTCCTCTCCTGCTGCTGCGCTCCGCTGGCGGACCATTGTGTCCGTAGTGTGCACACCCGCGGCGCCCGCGCTGCCGTGGCCGCGCCCGGACTACCGTCGCCGTCGCCAGGCACGATCCTCCTCCTCCTCCTCCTCCTCCTCCTCCTCCTCCTCCTCCTCCTCCTCCTCATCGCAACGTGGGGCTAGGGGGCGACGGCGACAGACGACGAGGGCCGCCACGGAGAAATGGGCCCATGTGGGGGGCACTCCGCCTCCTCCCTCCTCCTCATCCTTCTCCTCCTCCTCCTCCTCCTCCTCCTCCTCCTCCTCCTCCTCCTCCTCCTCTTGTTGCTCCTCCTCCTCTCCTCCTCCTCCTCCTCCTCCTCCTCCTCCTCCTCCTCCTCCTCCTCCTCTTGTTGCTCCTCTTCCCGCTCCCCGCTGCTATGCCGTGTCCTCACCCCTGCCTTCCTTCTATTCGCTTACGTACATGGGGTGCACCTCCTGGTAGTCCGCGTGAGTTATCGAGACCGAGGCCGCAGGATCCGCCCAGCGTGCCACGTCAGACCGCCGAGGTGCCTGTCCTGGAGAGCACGCTCAGGTCCCCCCCCCGCCCTCGATCGTCGGGGGCGCCAACACTGGGGTGTAGAGACTGGGTGTGTTTGTGTGTGTGTGGGGAGGAGGAGGAGGAGGAGGAGGAGGAGGAGGAGGAGGAGGAGGAGGAGGAGGAGGAGGAGGAGGAGGAGGAGGAGGAGGAGGAGGAGGAGGAGGAGGAGGGGGGAGGGAGGAGGAGGAGGAGGAGGAGGAGGAGGAGGAGGAGGAGGAGGAGGAGGGAGGACGAGGTGGGAGGACGAGGTGGGAGGAGGAGGGGGGGGGGAGGAGGAGGAGGAGCCAGTCAGCCCGCATGAACGCCCAGGGGCCAGGGGTGCGGGGCTGTCCAGATGATCCCAACTTTCTGAAACTCATTAGTCATGCGGGGAAAAACACAGACACAATTCATTGTCGATTCCCCCACACATTGAAACATCTGGAAAGTGGTGGAGACGACGAAAATGAGGAACGATGCGACACTATGGGACATCCTGTTATTTGTTTATATTTGTTTGTGTTCCCCTGGGCCCCTTTAATTGGGGGCTACCGCGGGCCTGAGGACACTTCGGTCCATGCTGTTGGCACGGTGGCAGGTAGCATTACAGCCAAGACCGATAAGCAGGACGGGTCACCTTCCCAAGTGTACCCTTGCATCCTCGCCTCGCCTTCTCAGTTCATCCTTACCCCCTTTTGGTGGTAAGCCCCGCTCGGAAAGGGTCGGCATGGCCCTGCAAGACCCTTGCATCCTTATCGCGCATCCTTACCATCAGCGTTGATCACTTTAAGTTGCCTGTCTCGCAGCGCAGACGTTGCACCCAACGAGGCGTTGCGTCGTGGTGTCGTGGCGCCGCGGCGCTGCTGTTGTGTTGCGGAGCTGCTCCGTGATAACAAGCAAGCTGCAAGTAACGAAACATCTCTCGGCCACGCGCAGGGAGGGGTGCAGTGCCGTTTTTTTTAATACATGCTCCGCGTGCGGATCATGCATAACAAATAAAGGGATTTAGTATCACATGCAATGGTGAAAGTACGCATTGGTTCATCAGTAAATGAATCATGGATTGGAAATCATATCTTGTTAAGAATCCCATGTATTAAAAACTGCCCTGTAGGGGGAGGGGGGGAGGCTTCTTCTTGAGAGGCCGCCTACTTCGAAGGTGCCCTGCCTCCCCTCCCGTGCCTGCCACCCCGTGCGCGCCGCCTCGCGCCGTCGCGGCAGCGTGCTTCCCGTGGGGTCGGCAGGGTGCGCCCCCGCAGTGTTTTTCGTGGTGTCCGTGTATGCCTCCGGGCTTCTAAGCCTTGGTCGCGCCTGTCCCCCCTGCAGGGGGATTTTCGACGAAAAGTGAAAACATACCACCAACATAGTCAAACAATAGTCCAAAACTAGTCTGGGGAGTATTTTTTGAATATGTTTGGGCCTTTTTGGGGTATTGCTTGGGGGGGGGTATTTTTTTAGTCGAAAAGCCCCCTGTAGGGGGACAGGCCCGACTGAATTCTAAGCTCGAAGTTGAATCTAAAGCCAGCTGCTGCACAGCCACATCTATGACTAGGTACACAACGAACCGTGTAAACCTAGCTGGTATCGGAGTGCATCCTGCTAGCTCTCATAGTGTGGTGTCGGCGATGCCCCACCGTGCTGACTCGCGCAAGTACATGAGCTGTATCGAATTCCAGTACCAAGGTGTATCCTGACAGCAGCATATAACGTTACGTATACTTGCGTGTGATGTCAAGGATCATATCGATCTACATGTCCTGGCAACATGCACGTTTAGGTTAAGAATACGGGACCACACTCGGACACCAATTGCACGTGAAAACATGGCTGCGCGTGAGGCTCCTCCTGTATAATCCAACAACTCATGTTTGGCCAACGCCTTGTTCGTTGGCACTACATTCGATCTGATTGGAGCGAAAGAATTTGGGCACCGTGGCTTTGCACCCACCATGTCAACCCACTGTTCTGTTCCTTCCCTTCCTTTTTCTTTCTCCGATGCCTTCAGCCCTTGCCTTCTCCTCCCTTTCCTCCACGCCCATGCCACTCCAATCGAGATGGGTTTGCCTTTCGTTCCTCAACGGAAGTCAGGGGGAGAGGCTGGAATTGGGACTACAACCTGAACACGACAGAGGAGCCGGAGATCAACATCGACGAGCCCGGTGCCAAGGGGAGGATCCGAATCTACAAGCCCTACGTGAAGATGCACACAGGCTCGCCCGGGGGAGGAGCCATGGCTGGTGGGCTTGTTTTCCGTCGGCGTCCGGCCGCACGATGTGCGCCGTCCTGTTCCTCCTCCTTCTCCGCGTCCTCCTCGTCCTCCACCTCCCGTCCCCCCTCCAACTTACGGGGATGGTGGTGGTGGAAAACAGGCCCATCAGTGGCGATCCCGAGCGGTGCGCTGAGCGGGGCCGAATGGTGCGCTGGCAGTGGCGGCTGGTGGTGGGCATGGCGTCTGTTGATCTGTTCTCTTCTGTATGTTTTCGACCCACTTCCCACCCGGAGAGCCGACGCTCCAACAAAGATGGGAGCTGGCGGTTTGGGGCTGTTTTCGCCCTCCGGGGGCCCTCGCCAGGCCCTGGGACCGTCAAACAACGACTCAGGGCCAAAAACCCACCCTGGGGATGTGGTCCAGACCTCCAGACCCAACGCATCGACAAAAATTGAGCAGCCGGCTGTCTGGGCAGGCACATCTTGAATCAAGCAGTCGCGAAGCGTCCCAGCTTGCCTATAGGCCTACCATTCGGGCTCTGGGAAATTCCGTGGTAGGCCTGCAGGAATGTCAGGACGGTCGGTCCTTGTACGTCCTGAAGGTCTTTCTACACGATCTCAGGGGTTCTCCAGCCGTCATCTGTCGCAGGCCTAGAGGTTGACACCAACACCAAGATCGGCGGCGTTCCTCCACCGAGGGAAGAAAATCCCGACCTCGGTGATGATGGTAATATTCTGGCTTCCAAGGTGACCGAAATATTGCCACCAACACCGAATTCTAGGATCGTCTCCACCCTGTGGAGGCAGCCTTGTGTCTTGGTGTTGGTGCCCATTTCCAGGCCTCCAAATCTGGCCCCCCTGCTCCTCGCGTCCTTTGCCCGCCTGGCGCTTCCGTGCTCGAGTTCGTGGCGCATGTGTCCTGCCGGTTCTTCGACCGGCTCTCGGACCCACTTCGCCGCAGGCCCAGCAACAGTTTTGCTCGGGGGGGGGGTCCTCTTCACCAATATATCTCGATGTGGAAAAAAAGGTTTTCGCAGGACGACTTCTAGGAGGCCTCCAGGGGCCGATTCTGGGCGGTCCCCCGCCAGCAGGAGAGGGAGGGAGCCAGAGAATTCGAGCTGGTGCGCACCTCCCTGATGCGGGTGGTCACGACTTGGGACGAGAGGGCCTGAGGACCGCATGGATGTCTGGTCGGTTGTCCGTCCTCTTGGAACGACTTGAGCAGAGTTGTTTCAACCGTTTCCCGTTGCACGCGTGTCGCCGCACATGTCAGGAGGGAAAAAACACACAGACACAATTAATCGTCGATCCCAGAGAATATATGGGAAAATATGCGAAGTGGGGCGGGGGAGACAAAAACCCTGAAAATATGGGAAACGATCGGGAATATTTCTACTTGTGTGTATTTATTTGTGTGTCCTGGGGCCCCTGCAACATGGTCTTACCCGGGCAGGAATCATGGACTCCGCCTGGTGGCCACAGGTGAGCACCACACCCATGCCGCGGCGCCGATCAGCGCGAGAGGAGGAGACGGAGATTGAGGCGGATGTCGGACGCTGGCTATGAAGAAGGAGCTGGGAGATGAGGGAGCTTTGTGGGCCCCGGAAATGGCAGGGCCGTTTTTACACCGTTTCCAAAAATGTCCTTTGAAAATGGAAACGGCAAAAAAACAGCGACCGGAAACAACAAAAAAACGGCTCCAGGATTGGAGCCGGAGCCGGAACCGGTCAAACAACGGCGACGGAACCGGTAAAAAAACGGCGTCGGAACCAGCAACAAAAGCGGCAAAACGGAACCGGTAAAAAAACGGCCCTGTCGTTTCCAGGGCCCCTTAAGTGAGGGAGGGGATGCGGAAGGGAACGAGGAGGAGAGGGTCATGATAAAAGGGGGAGACGGAGATTGAGGCGGATATCGGACGCTGGCTATGAAGAAGGAGCTGGAAGATGAGGGAGGGGATGAGGAAGGGGACGAGGAGGAGGGTCATGATAAAGGGGAGGGGGAGGGGGAGGCGGAGCAGGCGGATGGGGTACTACGGGAGCACCTCCGACGGGGGCGTGCAGCAGTCGGGTGGAGGCGGCAGGGCAAGCAGCCCGCGTGGAGTGGGCAGGCGGTAGAACGGGTGTCGGTGCAAAAAGCTGAAACAGAACCACGACTGTGCACAAGGGCCTGCACGACTTCTTCTCCCCCGTTAAGTTCGCACCCGTTCCGCGCCACGCCCCGCAGGTGTCAGGGGGGTGCTCTCAGCGGAGGGCACCCGAAAGTAGACCTGCGATCGCAACACATAATAGCAGCTGTGATGACAGACAAGGTTGGCGGCCGGATTGGCGCAAGGCGGCTTTGGACACAGACGTGTCAGCAACCAACCTTACCTCTATCTCCGCCCAGACGAGTTACCTTGATCAGGGATGTTGAGGAGTATGCAATCGAAACGAGGGCTGGGTAAGACGTTGTCATACTCAAGAGGATGAGGATGGAGGAGGAATCGGAGGAGGAGGAGGAGGAGTTGGGAGAGGGAGAGGGGGAAAAGCCAGGTGCGCTCGCGCCTTATCTGACATTCTGTACATCCCTCCCATCCCTTCCCATTGCCCTGATTGTTCTCTATCCGCGTATGCTTGTCATAGCCGACCTGCGACTCCCGCAGAAAGACCTGTTCCTGTTATGGGCAATCGGAAAAAAAGGGAGCTGCGTGCACAGGAGGAGGAGGAGGAGGAGGAGGAGGAGGTGGTGGGTGAGCAGAAGGATGAGCGGGAGGAAAAGGATGAAGACGAACACCAGTAGCAGGAATTCAAGCGGACGGATCGGGAGGAAAAGGACGACCGGAGGAAGGCGGAAGACCCGGATTCAGAAAGGTGGCCCGCGTTGCGTCGAGACGCACAGCAGCAACAGGAATTGGAGTGCAAGGAGCGGGAGGAACAGGAGGACCAGGGGAAGGCGGAGGAGGGGAATGGGGGGGGGACACTCCATGGGAGGAGGGATAATAGCATTCACATTGTTTCATTGCGGATGGAGGGAGGAGGAGGAGGAGGAGGAGGAGGAGGAGGATGAATTGGTCGGCGGATGAGGATGATGAGGAGGAAGAGGAGGGGGAGGAGTAGGAGAGCGAGCATAATGGCCAGAGGCTTTTTGGATGCTTCCCGGCGTCTCCGCGGATGTCTCTTGGCAGCTTCTTCTGGGTCTTTTGGGGCGTCTTTGGGGTCTCTTGACAGTTGCAGGGGCCTCTTGAATCGTCTTGGGTGCCTCGGGGACGCCTCTTTGGGAACTCTGCGGAGCCTCTTGGGGACCTCGTGGAGGTTTCTTGGGGAGGAACTTTTGGGAGCCTCTTGGGGGCCTCTTGGAGGCTTTGGCGCCTCCCAGGCTCCTCTCGAGACACTCCTGGGAGCCTCGAAGGCCATCTTGGGGCCATCTTGTCGGAGATCGATCAAAGAAGGGAGGGTAGTCAATTAGAGTCCCCATCCAGGAGGCCAACATAGACCCAAAACCTGATTATGTATGGTCGCTGACTTTTGCTTTTTCGTCGCGGCCATCTTGGACGCTCCGACGCCTCGCGGAACCTCCTGGCCAGGTCCAGGGGGAGGGGTAGGTGGAGGGGTCAAGCTGCCCTCCTAGATAGCAGTCTGTCTAGCTCACTTCCACCGGCCCTCCCAACACATAAGTAACACCCGAGCGTCAGCAGATCGCTTGGGAACGCCACACATGCCTTGCGCGCCACGGGTTCCAGGTGCGCCAGGCACCGTGGAGGTCCAAGCGTGACAGGTGCGGCACATGCTCCACGTGCGCCAACTGTGCCACGTGCTCCAGCCGCGCCAGGTGCGTCAGCTAATTACGGGACACCAACAGGGACCCCAGGTGCCTGGGGCCCTGGCCAGAAGGAGCTCAATATCTCGAATCCCCCTCAAACGAAGTGCCTAGCATTCTGTGAAAAGGGCGGCTCCAGTGAGCGCAAAACATCGGCACAGATCCACAATGTGTGACATTTTGAGGAGTCGTGAAACAGATGGTGACCCAGAGAACAGAGGGCCCTGCACATGCCCCAGATTTGGAGCCAAAGTGTATTGTTGTATTGTGGTTTGTGGTTTGACAGGAATGGTCGGCCTGCGCGCAGCAAGCAATGTGCCGGCACCCCCGCCGTCCCTGTCAAACACAGTGCAAAGTGGTTGCGAGGCGTCCGCGCATGCGCCAGATTTCGAGGCAAAGGGCATGCGGCATCGTGGTCCGAGTTGGCTGTCGGTCGCCTGGGGGAGGGGGTGTTTATTAATGGGGAACAGTGATAAACCCTTCCCCGAAGGGGAAGAAGGGGGTTTGAAGAGGGAACGCTCCCAGAGTGCTGGTTTGATTCCTCGGACGTGGATTCATGGGACGTGGGGACATCCCACCCACCTTAGAAACGTTGGGGCGGGGGTGGGGTTCGCATGTGGCCACCTATCAAAGAAGTGGCCGCTCGGACTTCTTGGATCAGCGCTGGGCCGAGGAGGAGGCGGAGGAGGAGGAGGAGGGCGAGGAGGAGGAGGACATGCAAGAGGAAGGCGCAGGAGAAGGGGGATGAGGAGGAGGAGAAGGACGAGGAAGAGGAGGAAGAGAAGGAAGAGGAGGAAGAGAAGGAAGAGGAGGAGGACGAGGAGGAGGAGGGGGAGGAGGAGGAGGAGGAGGAGGAGGAGGAGGAGGAGGAGCAGGAGGAGGAGGATGGAGGAGGCGGGAAGAGGAGGAGGGATGAGGAGGAGGAGGAGGAGGATACGGAGGAGGAGGAGGAGGAGGAGGCGAGAGGAAAGGGAATGAGGCGGGAGGGGGATGAGGGGGAGGAAGAAGAGAAGGAGGAGAGGAGGAGGGGGGAGGAAGGGGGAGAAGAGGAGGAGAGGAGATTCCTGAAGTTTGCCGAACCGCAAAAAAACAAAGAGATGGGGAGGAGGAGGAGGAGGAGGAGGAGGAGGAGGAGGAGGAGGAGGAGGTAGGTGGACTTGTATACCTATTTGACTCGTAGGGGAGTAGGGTAAGGGGAGCACGCAGACG